CCACTGACAACGCTGTCACTCAGAGGTTTTTCCCATCAGGCAGGATGTAATAGGCTGGGTTTCCTCCGCTGTCTCCAACAAAAATGGAATGGCCCTGAAGGTATTCATTAGAGTCCACAAAAGTACATAAAATGACTATAAAATGCGCCACTTGGTTCACACAGCTTGATTGCTCCAAAGTCAAACGACTGGGCTCTGGGTCCAGAACACATTACTTTATATATATATATATATCCCACTTTCTCCCCAATCTCAAAGTGGTAGAAATGATTAACCAGCAGACCACAGAACCAAACTTCAAGGAGTTCTCGCCATGTGCTTTTTGGAGCTAAGTTAACTTTAATAACACTTTTGTGATCAGTTTTGCCTTTCCTCTTATGAATTTCCCTTGTGAATCTTGCTGACTGGTTTTTCACTTGCCTGTCAGGGTTGTTCGAAGCAGGGGCATCTCCCAGCAGCCTGCAGGCCTGTCTGCAGCAGCTCCTCTGCGGTGGTCTGGGATTTGTGGAATGGGAAGTTCAGAGTTCCTGAACAGGATGTGGAATCACCGCTGCAGCGTACAGCCCCACCACCTCCACCACCACCACCACCACACTACAGAGCTGGTTTGCGGCTGGGTGAATCCGCATCTGGAGAAGATTTTTTTTGTTGTTGTTGTGACATCTGGAAATCTATTTGTCTCTGCCTATCTTCTGGTGACCCGTGCGAGCATATCTATCCCGGGTAAGTCGGCTAAAACGAGTGTGTTAACTTTTACTCTGCTTGTGTGCCGCATCATTGCTCTCCATATCAGTCCCACTGCAGACTTTTTAGAGACGCTTTTTTGAGAGTTTCTTGTCGCAAACGTTTTCCATTAACATCGCTACTGAGTCTTAACTTTTCATGAATTACAATAACTTGACATCAGACTCAAAATTCAGCTCACTTTACCTAAAACATGAATACAGCTGCTCCAGCTGCTAAAGTCTCTTTTGTTCTGTGCACACAGCCCAGGGGGTTGATGTTAACTTAATAACAGGGTGCCCTTACCTCTCTGTTGTTTTGCCTGCCTAGACATGCACTGTATGGCTTGTGTTACTGCTGCACACAAATCATATGAGTATAATGCTACTATAAACTAGTACTTGTCCCATTCTGTCACTTCTCTCTTAACTTAAACATTATTGAATCATTGATCTGATTTTGTCTTGATGACAGCTCGGTAAACACACCTCCTCCTCTTCCTCCGTCTCCACAGATTCAGGTGATGACTCACCTCTGGACTCTTCTGTCAGCCCTGCTGCTGGTTTTTTCAGTGGCTGAACCTCTGAGCAGCCCTGAGGAAAATGAAGTCATGAAACACACAGAGGCCGAGTTCACCAAGAGACAGGTCAGTGGAAAGCCTCCGTGCTACTACAGAGATTCTGGTGTTCAGCTTGAGACATTACAAATGTCCTTACTGGGTGTGATTGCATAACTTAAACTCAATTTGTTGCTCTCTCTGGTTCACAATCAGGTGATTGAGAATGCAATCAGAAATCTCAGTGAACCTACACCAACCCACACACCCACCACATGTGAGGTTTTCTTTTTTTTTGGCTTTTCGTGCAATTTCTTTTGATTTGCCCTTCAGTTTCCCCAATAATAACCCCTTTCTTTCCCTCTGCATTAGCGGATCCCTTGACTACCACAGTCTCTCTGAGCTCCAGTGTTGTTCCTCAGTGTCCAGCAAACCAGGTGATGTTGGAGAGCAGCAATGGCTGTGGCTGTCCATCTGGCACGGTGAAGGTTGGTGACAACTGTACCTGCCCTGCAGGCTTCACTCTGGAGGGGGCCTCAGAGTGTAAAGGTGAGAGGGGACAGAAGCAGCAGCAGAAACCAGTGTTTAAAGGTGCTGTGTGTGTGTCTCACAGGAACATTAATAAAATCATTTCTGCATTCAATTTTAGAAATGAGTGTAATTACTTCATACAAATGAGGTGATTGAAGAATGGTGGGCAGCCTCTACTCCGCATTTTAAGCAATTTACTTTTTTTTTTTTTTTTACAGGAAGTCAGCAATGAGATATGCTGCAATTAGTGAAAGGGCAAATGAGAAATGACTTCCAATATGTTTATCATCGACAGGAAAGGAAAATATTTACTTAATGTCAGGGTGTTTTGGGAAATGTGATTTCAATATACAGAAAGTAATGCACCAGCAATGAGAGCATTTCATTTTATGATGCTATGCTAAATTTTATCCGTCAGTATACCTACCACATGTAGCAACATGTTTCCTATGCTTATGTGCATACAGTGATCTCAGTTTGATGCAGTATATCATTTTCGCTCTGTTCCACAGATGTTGATGAGTGTGAAGGAGGGGGGCCAGGACCATGTGGTCTCCATGCCAGCTGTACTAATACCCTCGGCTCTTACTCATGTAGCTGTCTCCGTGGTTACCTGATGGGTGCTGGAGGGTGCCAGGGTTCGTCAGCATCTGTGTGTGTGTGTGTGTGTGTGTGTGTGTGTGTGTGTGAGGCAGAGAGGATGTACTGCATTTGTGTGAGAGCATGTTGGAAGGAGAGTTTCAGAAATGATTATCTGTACCTTTCAGCCTATGTATCATGGTAGTAATTCATGTGTGATTTGTGGGTTTTTCCAGATATAGACGAGTGCGCTCTGGCTGCAGTGACGGGCCTGCAGGCCTGTCAGGGCGATGCTGAATGCAAGAACACCCCTGGTTCCTTCACATGCTCGTGCCCTGCGGGATATGTAATGGCCCTAAATGGACAAAGCTGTGTTGGTGAGGCTGATATTGACATATGTTGTGTATGACTATGGCATGTGGATGTGCAATGTGCTGTACATTCAGAGGACTTAGATTGAGGTAGCAGTGAGGTGTGTAGGGGGGTTGTTTTTTCTCTCAAACAACATAACAAGAATTGGAAAACACATTTAAAGCAGGGGTCTCCAACCTTTTTTTACTCTGAGAGCTACTTTGACAAAATAAAAGGGGGTGAGGGCTACTCGTGGTTTATATTACTGGTTACATTTAAACTCTCAAACTAATCTCCAAAACAAATCCGATGAATAAGATAATTTTACAAGTCATCAAATATCAATATCCAAAGTTCACATTTGGTTTGGAAAATCACGTCATGGTTCAGTCAAACCTGAACACACAGACACGACGACACCGTTGCAAATAAACGTCCATAAATCTGCTTAGACATCAGAGAAAAAAGAAGCTCCAAAGTAATCCACGGACAGTTGTCAATACAGCCAATGATGACATGACAAACAGGAACTTGAAATAGTTAATTCGGTACACTTCATTTTCCGAATGAAGTATGTATGGTAGGTCTGTGTATTTGATTTAGTTGCATTTGGAGTAGATTTACTGTGTGAGGTTGTGTCGTGTGAGACGCCTGTAGGAGACCCCTGATTTAAAGAATAGCAGGGCTGACTTAGATCAGAGCGCACACCAAAACTCTTCCCTACCTCAGCATACATTCAAACCAAATAATTAAGATAACAAAATGTAAAACAGCAATGTTCAAAAACATGTTTAACAAAGGTTGAGACGCAAAATAACCTTGAATTACTTGGAGAGGTTTAAAGGGTAATTATAGTGTGTGTGCCTCTGTGTCTTTGCCATAGTGAAGATTCCATACAAGACTGTCAAATGAAAGCTTCTTATTTGTTGGTTTCTTTCCACTGCAGATGTGGATGAATGCAGCTTTGAGGAGCAGTGTCGCCGTGAGCTGGGAAATGTGTGTGTGAACACCCCTGGCAGCTTTATATGCCAGTGCCAGCCGGGCTTCAGAGCCGAGGCCCCCGCCTGTGTTGGTGAGTCTGTCGTTGAGCCTGATCACAGCTGACCATAAGACAGATGTCCAGATTTAATCTGGTGTTATTTCTTCATTTTTCACTCAAGATTAGTAACTTGTGCTGACAGGAAGGAAGTCTTTGCAGGAATAGTGAGCTTCAATCTGCTCTTTGCTGCTTGCCTGCTTTGTTCCTCTTTGTTTTTGTTTCCCAACCCCCCTTTCACCTCTAAAACCTTATCCTCTAAAATCTTTTCTTTTTCTACACCTCTCTTCTGTCTTCTTTGTGACTCCTCTGCACCTCTGGTCTCTGGCCCGCTATAGGTCCTGTGTGTCCAGACTACACCGTGTGTCAAGGTATGGTGTGTTTTCCATGCTTAACTCATGCTGCTTGCCTAATCATCAGCAAAGTCCTTGGAAAAGGTCATTGTCATAGGACTTTCATTTTATAATGTTTTTTATCCATATTTTATTACTATTTCCACAATTACCATTTCCTCACAAAATTGCTGTCAGAAAGTAATGGAAGTGTCAAGTTGGACAAAGAGGAATAAAAGAAATGGGGAAAAGGAAATATTGTCTCATAATTAATTCAGCATCTTCTCATAGTGTTGTAGGGACACAATTTTACACCACTTATGCCTAATAAGGACTTGATTGAGGTTTGGTGATATGAGAATTCTTTGGTAACTCTATTGCTTGCAGTCAAATTAGGAGGCTTCATTACACAGATGACAGTTTTAAACAACAACAAAATGTTTCATTGCAAATGATCACAGAGTAATAGGTCAATAAAAAAGTCCTATACTGTATGTACCACTCTCTTTCTCTGTCCCAGATGTGGACGAATGTACGGAGAGTCCTGCGGTGTGTGATGGTCAGGGTGTGTGTGAGAACACACTAGGGAGCTATAAGTGTGTCTGCCGACCAGGTTACCGGGGAAACGGCACACACTGCGAAGGTAAGCAATTAGCGCTGACGTCGCTCCATGGGAAAACTCTGTTTCCTGTAGACGCTTCCGTGTGTGCGTGTGTTTTAATGCTTGCTGTTATGCCTTCCATTCAAATTATGCCGAGTGGCAGTGGCAACAATGTTTATTGAATAGAAATGAGCTGAGTTTTGGATTTGGATTTAAAAAAAGAAAAAGAAAATATATAGGGTGTGCCGTCTCCTTCCAGATGAGAATGAGTGTGCGTCGGGTGGTCACGGGTGTGATACCAACGCTCGGTGTGGCAACATCATTGGCTCGTATTTCTGCCAGTGCTACCAGGGCTTCAATGGAGATGGACACTCTTGTTTTGGTGGGTAATCAGTGTCTGTGTCCGTGTGTGTGTGTGTGTGTGTTTTTCCATAGTGCTTAGTAGCATTAAGTGTCCGCCAGTGATACTTGTGTCATAGAAACAAATACTCGGCGTGTGCCAGCAGCACTTGGGCACACAGCACTCACCAGACACCAGTCCTTTAGGATTGTCCTTGTTCACAGACGTTGATGAGTGTGCTGTGAACAACGGCCACTGTGAACACAACTGCACCAACGAGCCAGGAGGGTACAGCTGCCAGTGTGCCCCCGGATACCAGCTGGACCAGGGTGGACGCAACTGCACAGGTAAAACGCAGGTCAGGAGCAGCGTGTTGTTGCCACATCAAGCGGTGGCAGATGAAATAAGTGAACACAATGTTGACAATATCATCACCTATTAGAATTGATATAGCGAATTTCAAACAAACAGTGGCTTATTTACACAACTAGCAGATACACAGCAACATCATCATTCGCTTGGAGTCGTCTCTCTGGACACTGCTCTGTTTTTGGTCTCTACCGGTTCCTGTGGGAAATATCTGGCTCCTTAGTTGCTAAATGCCTTAGCCGTGCCCATCTGCTGCTTAGTGCCAGGCAGGTAGAGTACAGTGGCTTTTCAAGGCTTTTTCTCTGAAAACAGCTGCTGGCTGCAGCCGAAAACAACACTTTGAGAATGATGAGAGTGAAGTTAAGTTGCAGACCAGATAGTTAAACAATGAGCTGCAGATACAGCTGATAATTCTCTGTCACCACAAGTCACCCCTTTCACATTTTCACTCTACTTTGTGTATCTGATAGGTGAGGTATAACAAATGACTGTTGTAACTTGCCAGTGCAGTCCAAAACATTGTAAAAGTGGTAAATGGACTGCACTTATATTGTAGTTTTCTAACTTAACAGACAAAACACCAGTGGTGGCACATCTGCCATTCAAGATGCCAGCCTGCCCATGGGGATCAGCTTTGGTTTAGTGTCTTGCCCAGTGGCACATCGACATGTGGACAGCAGAGACATCATTGAATTACTTTTTCTGTGAAAGAATTCATAGACTGGCCTCCTGCTTACAAGATGAGCCCCACTCCCCAATTTACACTCAGGTAAAGGGGAGCTCAAAATCAGCCAGCAGCTTGTGAATAAGGGTCAGCAAGGGGATTGCCTCTCCTGGGAGCAGTGCATCACCCTCAAAGACCAGTGCCACCCTGATCCAAACAACTCACCTCTTTTTAACCCCACTCACCTGGTCCTCCAGGCTTGTTGAAACAAGTGCTGAAATGAATTGCAGATATTGTTTGGCTAACGTCTGAGTGAGCCCTTACACTGGGGCTGTGTTCGGTCACGACAAAAGACTTATATAAATGTCTCTGATCCCACAGATGTGGACGAGTGCTTAACACTGAATGGGACCTGTGAGCACGTTTGCATCAACACTCTTGGATCTTTCCAGTGCTCCTGCCGGCCCGGCTACCAGCTGCACATCGATGGCCACACCTGTGTGGGTCAGTCACTCGCCGACACTCATTCACTTCTCACTGCTGTTTAGCCACTGGCTTTCAGTCATTTAAACAGCATGTAGAAGAGGATAAGGCTGACATGAATATGCTATCTCACTGTCTCTTTTTTTTGTGTGTGTGTGTGTGTGTGTGTGTGTGCGCACACTCAGACATTGATGAATGTAAGCTCCAGAATGGTGGCTGCTCCCACACCTGCACCAACTCTCCAGGAGGACACACTTGCCACTGTCCTCCTCCTCTGCTGTTAGACACGGACAACCTCACCTGCAGCAGTATGTTCCTCATTACAGAGTTGACATTACATTATTTATTTGACATTATTATTATTATTATTATTATTATTATTATTAAATGTATATTTCTGTCAGATTTTTACTGATAATGATGTTAGAGTTGCAGCTTTTTAAAATGTAAAAACTCCACATGTAAAAGGCCAAATCGGTTTTTCATGGTTTTATTAATGTTTGTTTTCCAAATGTTACATTTCACCGTAGATATCACAGTTATGCTCTAGTAATATTTTTGCTTTAGGACTATTAAAGTCTGGGCATACCTTCTATATTACTGTACCTTTCTGTCTGATTATCAGATAACATTAAATAACAAATGTCTCTTTGAAAAAAAGTCACAATTTATAAGCTGGAATTCTGGGAATTTTTGGCATTTTTGCTTGATAAATGATAATTTGCCTCAAACATTGTTACGATCTGTAAATATTCAATGTTAAAATAATTCCCTTTCACCTGAAAAGATGTTACATCTTGTAAGCTGAGAAATGGCGGCTGCGACCACGTATGCACTGTGGGGGCTGAGGGCCACGTCCAGTGCAGCTGCCAAACAGGCTGGAAGCTGGGCGAGGACCTGAGGACCTGCGTGGGTGAGACTTCGTTTTCACTCCTCACACTGCCACCACCTTTGTTGATTTGATGCTCTGTTCTGGTGACGCTGTGGGCTCTGATTGGACAGTCAAAGGTTTATCCAAGAAATGAAGCTGTTTATTTGTGCATATCAGTATACTTTTAAAGGGATTCTGGGAGCAACTTATGTTACTTAATATGAGGTTATGCTGCAAAGTTTGATTGACTTTTTTAATTTTAAGTACAAAATTACTGAATTAAATTCCTTTAGACTTCACCATCTGTTTAAACAGCCATACAAAGCTTCTCAAAGTGTAATTTCACAAACATTTATTGTTTCAGTCTTTCAGATAAAATCAGTAAAGAGCTGGAAAGATTTGCCCAGATCTAATCAACTCCTGAAGGTGTTCGTAAACCGAAATCACATCAGTTGGGAAAAAAGGAAGTGCGGAAATTTGATTTGCTGCTAACGACTGATGAGTCTAAACAGTTCAGCTGTGGCCAAGTTTTCTTGGACGATAACCTTGTCGCAAACAGCCAAGTTTCTCTGGTCACTCAGCCCAGAAAGGAAATGAACAGACTGTCTCATAGATTGTTCCTGCTGTGTTTAAAATGTCGGCCTGTTTAACTGTCTCTCTCTCTCCCTCTCTGTGTTATCGTGAGATGTGAACGAGTGCGGCGACTTCACAAACGGGGGCTGTGAGCAGCTCTGTGTGAACCGTCCTGGTGGGTTTAACTGCACCTGCAGGGGAGGGTATGAAGTTCGAACTGATGACCTCACCAAGTGCCAGCGTGAGTCAAACAACATACATCTCGTGCAGTGATCATGATGCAGGCAACAGTATTGGTAAAAGGGACTTAGTTAAAAACATGAAATTATGCTGAATAACTTCTTGTCATGGTTTGATATGGCAGACACCTTTTGTTAGTTTTGTTTGGACTTTTTGCACTTCTTGTTTTATTTTGTAATCTGTTTCCTTGTGTGTCTCAGTGTTTTGCTTCCTGTCTTGGTCCTGTTTTCTGTGTGGTGATTGTCTGCCCCGCCCTAATGTGTTTCACCTGTGTTCAATCACCCTTGCCTCCCTTGTCTATATAGTCTTTGTGCTCCCCTTTGTCTGGGGCGGTTTTTCTGTTGTCTCTCTGTTTAGTTCTGGGTTTGTTCACGTCCTCGGTTCATGTTTATTATTTTGGTAAATAAACCTGTCTGCACCGTCTCCTGTGTGTTGGCTGCATTTGGGTCCAGCCCTTTACCCCTCAAACCCTTACATCCGTGACACTTCTCTGCTTTTCCAGCTGTGTGTGACCCTCCCTGTCAGAACTATGGAGTGTGTGTGGCCCCAAACAGCTGTGACTGTCCTCCAGGCTACCCTGGTGTTGGCTGCTCAGGTACGAACCTGCGCTGTTGTACATGGATAGCATTTACATTCTGGTAGGATTAGTGGTCTGTGGTGCACAGTGACTGTTGACAGCTTTGTTTTAAAAAAAAAAAGTCTGTTCACAGTTAGTGAGAGAAATATCGCTGCTTTAAGTATTATCTGACATTAAAACCATCATTGTGATGTACCATCATCACAACATGAAATATAACCCTTACCCACGGATAAGAATGGAGACAAAACATGGTATTAGTAACAGGTTTGAGATGATGAGCAGGGAGATGTTACTGGAGATGTTAAATTACTGCAGTGACCAAAAAAGGACGAGACTCTTATCTATGGATACATACCATATGTTTCATGTGATATTCAGGTAGGTTTGTGAATGTTCTACATAATATTAGTGTCCTGCTGACAGAATATTTGGTGGGAGAAGATTAAGCCTTGAAAGCCTTGAACAAGTAATCTGGAAGGTCTCACTGGAATATAATTTCATTTGTGTCTATGTCATATTGCAACTGAAACGCTGATTATAGTATCAGTATGGTGCAAATGCAAAACCTTACGTTGCTATGGGAAAATTGATGAATGAAATCCATGTTGGTTTGTGTGTCTCAGCTATGTGCTCCCCGCCCTGTGCCCATGGAGGTAGATGTATGCGCTGGAATATGTGTCTGTGTCCTCCCGGCTGGACCGGAGACGGCTGCCACACAGGTACATTTTCTTCACTCTACTAAGCTTATGAGTCTTGTTTTGTGCTCACCAACTCATACCTTTACCTTTGCATGACCATGTGCTGAGGTACTGTAAGCTTTATACATTGCTTTTCCTTTTTGTCAGCGGTGTGTGAGTTGCCCTGTGCTAATGGCGGTCGCTGTGTGGGGCCTGATAACTGCCAGTGTCCCTCCGACTACACCGGCCCCCAGTGCCTTTTGCGTGAGTAACAAAACTACCAGCACATCTGGCATCAGTTACACTAGGCAGGCAGGTACTTCTCGAGGGAAGCTAGAGGTCTGTCATTTCTACCTCCTGCACGGCAGTAGCACTGGCTGGTAAAATATAGGTTATACCATGATGGAAAAACAAAAATGCAACGAGGAAATCTGAAACCTGTGGACTGGACAACTACAGTATGTTACCCCCAAGTGTAGTTTTCCTACATAGACCCACCTCTATCTCTGTATGTGTGTGTTTTGTAGCCCTGTGCACTCCTGCCTGTCAAAACGGGGGAAGATGCGTGGATGTCAACAAATGCACATGTGTTGATGGATGGCAAGGAGCTCGATGCCAGATAGGTGAGATTGCACGCACTTCAGTGTCAGTACATCTGTCCATTGTTACATACAAAGATTTCAGTAAGCAAGCATTTTTATACACATCACTGATAAATCAATTAATTGACGCACAAGTCACAAGTAGACATAGCTTTATTTTAACAAGTCACAGGCCAGAAAGACTGGGAACTGCTGCCTTATGATATGCAGTTCAACAGTCAGCCAGTCAGTGGTGCTGTGTACAACTGTTAGTGCAGCACCATACATGCGGGTTACAAGTTCAGGCCTGTAAAAAAATATATATATATATATATATAGGTTGTAACTCTGAGGTTGAATGTTCCCTACTAAAATACCTGCAATAAATGCTCTGTGAATTTCAACCATAAACTTTACTGTGTGTTTGCTTTCTAACGTGTTGTGCTGCTGTAGAGATGAGCTGTGTTGAGCTGGATTACTGTTGACTACATCCCTGTTCTCTGTCTCCCTCAGAGCCTGTTCAGTGTCAGAAACCTTGTAAGAACGGTGGAGTGTGTGTGGGCCTCAACAGGTGCCGCTGTGCCAAAGGATTTACCGGAAGCCTCTGTGAAACAGGTTAGTCCGTGTGTGTGTGTGTGTGTGTGTGTGTGTGTGTGTGTGTGTCTGTGTGTGTGCAAGAGACCTTTGCCTTCACTTTGCATTAAGACTCTTGCTGTGTGCTGTGTCCGTAGCGGTGACCACCCCCTGCGTGCCGCCATGCAAACACGGCGCCACCTGCAGTCCTCACAACACCTGCACCTGTCCAGAGGGCACAGCAGGCCTACGCTGTGAGAGACTGTAAGTATGAAAAATAGCAGAACCAAAAACAGAGTCACAAATAACACCCATGTGAACTTCAGTTAGTGTTAACTGGGCTACCCATCATGCATTTGTCTGAGAATACATGAATCTTGCTACAATGCATTGGAACACATCCATTGTTTCCCTTAATGAGACGCATAGTTACAGTTACTAGCAACATGCAGTTAGTCGTGTGATGTTCTTTTATGGTGCTGTTACAAATGGCAAAGCCAAGTTTTCACAATAGTGGGAAATAAGTTGCTAAAAATGCCAAACGCGCCACACATAAATAGTGCCAAGATAATTATCATGTGAAACATCAGGGATTCTGCTTCATCATTTCTGTTTTTGTCTTGAGAGTGAAATGTCTTTCAAAACATCACTGCTGAACAGCTTCAGCTCTAACAAAAGTGACTCTTGTAAGGTGTAATCATTGCAATGCTATAATAACGTTTTCAACCTGCAGATACGATACAGAGTTGTCATGTAATTACAATACTGCTCCTTATTCTCATGGATGTGTTTGTGTCCAAGGACGTGCCCTGTGGTCACCACGGTGGTCAGTATGGCTCGAGCAGTGAGAAAGGCATTCAGGGAGAGTTATGTTGACCGCTGTGGACCCCTGGGAGTTCAGCTTTGCACTAAATACAGGTAAACTGTATATGCACTGTTTAATTAAATATATTAAACATGTCATAAAAGTATAGATAAATAGTTTTTCAAGGTCTTGGAAAACGGTGGCATAAGCAAATGTAACTTGTGTGTTACAGTAGCCTTTGTGGACCAAAATTTAAACATGTGAAAACAATGTGACAAAGTTGTGTCTGCTGGGTGGTTGTGTTTCCAGGATAAACCAGGCTCGCGTGTACCTGCAGGCCTACAGGGTGGGCTACAAAATCCAGTGTCCAGAGAGGAAGGGCAGATGAAGGCCTTGTCACAAGGAACCATCAGCCACCAACACAACCAACATTTTGGGCAACAGACAACAAGTGAAATGAGACTGAAAATGAGATGAAACTTAATCAGTGTGAGGGCGATGTGGCCTCTGGGCAGTTTCACCCTGAAATCAAGCCTCTGTGTTGAAATGAAAAGTGGACTTGATTGTATCATAAAGGATGTTTATTTGGTTTGTATGTCGACAATGATCTTTATCTTAGTTTTGTACACAATCATGCTGTTTACATTTCATGAGAAATATTCCTTAGTATATGAAATGTACAATGGATTCAATATTTGCAATGTTTGTATATGTAAGTTGAAAGTTGTTAAATTTGACATTGATTATCTTTTTACGAAATGGCATCAATATTGTTTTGGTAAAGATTTCTACAGTCTGTGAACTGACTGTCAGTGAAAGGTCGTACTTTAAGAGTTGACTTTAGGGACCATCCATAAAGATAAACTGTCACACAAACACACTTACATGTTTTTGAAGTTAACAACTTAGACTTCAAACTAGAATTGCTGTGTGAATGACAGAGCTTAGATAACCATCTCACAGAACAACTTACAATAGCAGTACTTTTGTGCATTAGTTTCAGAATCAACTGACATGAAAGAACTGCAGAATTACAGCTATATTATATTCTTATCACCATGTAGTACTGATGTCGGCCCTCTTCAAATCTGTGTTGGTCAGCTTGCTGTTGACTACTACTGCCCCCGAGTGGCCAAACATATCTCTGCAGCTCTAAGATGAACACTAGGCCACAAATAAAACCATGACACTTCACTCAGTTTAATGAATCTGAATACATCTAAGAAATGACGGAAAGCTTGTATGTGTGGGGGGTATCACACTTCGCGTAGTGTGGCACAGATTTCATATTCGCGGGGGGAAAGAATGACGCTAATGCGGGGCTCTAGCTGAGGTTCCACCCCGGGTGGCATGGAGAAGGTGAAGCGCTGCATTAAAGACGTGAAGAAGAGGAAGAGCTCCATCCTGGCCAGTTTCTCCCCAAGACAAATCCGCTTGCCTGCAGCAAAAATACACCACAACAATTTAACAGAGGAAAGTCGATACATAAGTAAAATAATCAAGTTTTATAATACAATTTATCTTCTGAGTGTGACACATCTCCGTGCTACCTAGACACAACAGTTTCCTCTTGTGGCAACAGGTTTTTGTACTCAAAGGGAAACTCTGCTACTACTGCATATGTGAAAAACTTGTGTAAAAACTTCAACATGAGTTGGCGTTGACAACTAAAACAGATTTGGTGATATGGAGTTAGGCAGGAAGAACTGTTGTTAATGTTAATTTCTGCCTGCAGCTAACGGCTCAAGGCTACATTAGCCAGTACTAGCATAACACAACAAAATCTTTAGCCAAACTGATAACGGTGGAGTTGCATTGTGGGTAATGCAGGTTTTGACGGAAAGAAAAAAGACAATATCTCAATCTAATGCTAAATTGAGTACTCCTTAAAATGTCTGGCCATACTGTATTTTGGTCCCAGTTTATCTTACTCAGTGACATAAGTGTTAATTCAAGAGGCGACACTACAGGGCTAAATGGGGATTTGTGAAACCAATTCTACTGAATATTCATCTGGTCATATTTGCTCCATAATTCTGTTCTCAATATATTTTTTTTAAATAATGCATTTCTTTGAGGGATGCCAGTGTAAAGTCAGTCAAACAAACTTTGGATAAAAAACCAGAAGGAATTCAAATGATATGTCCTGTAATCTGTACATGTACTTACCAGCAGAGAAAGGGATGAAAGCAGCTCTCTTCACAAATTTGCCCTCCTCATTTAAAAAGTGTCCTGGATTAAAGGAGTAGGGTGTTTCCCACTGGTCCTTCTCAAATAGCACCGAGGTCAAATTGGGAATTATTATAACACCCTGAAAATAGAATTGTAATACCTGAGTTTATTGAGGAGCAGGTGTATATGTGTTGAAACAAGATAAAACATATAATGAGAAATGACCTTTGGGATTGTGTAGCCTCCCAGTTGGACGTCTCTGCTGACGATATGAGGCAGGCTGAGAGGAACTATGTTCCCCATCCTCTGGATCTCGTGGATGACAGCTACAGTGTAGGGCAGGTTAGCACGGTCCTCCATGGATGGCTGTCTGGACTGTCCAATCACTCTGTCTATCTCAGCCTGCACTTTTTCTGTGCAACATGACAGCAGAAAAGGGGAACAATGAATTAGTCACTTACAGAAACATCAAGACTTACGTAGGTTGGCACAAATGACTTCTTGTCCTACCCTGAATCTCGGTGTACTTTGCCATGTAGAGGAAAGCCCAGCGCAGGGTGGTGGATGTCGTCTCAGTACCAGCCCCAAACAGATCAAATGAACACATCACCAAGTTATCCTCATGAAAACCAGCATCCACCTCATCATCCTTCTTCATCTAATGGGGAACATTTTACAAAATAGACATTGCCTACATGTAAAATGTGCCTTTTTTGTTTGAATATTTAACTTTTGTGGAACATATAGGCAGGGTTAGAAATTGATTATTAAACTATTAATTGCAGGACTATCATTAATACAAGTGAGCTTTTGTCATTTGAAATTAAAAATTGTACTTTTCACTTCAATAGATCAGACAATCATTTGATTTCAAATAACATTTGATTTCAAATAATATACTATGAAATAAACTAACTATTAAAGGAACTCTGAGAAAGCTTTTCATATATAATATTTAAACTGTGTGTAATATGGGATTAAGGCATAAAACATTGCTTGAAAATTACTTAGAGCAAAAAATCCATCATCAAAAGAATTGCCAATTTATTTGCTTGTAGTTCGTCCACCCACCCTCTGAATCTCACTCAGGTAACAGTCGATATAGTCTCTGGGCTCAGACGGGTCCCAGTCTTCCTTGTGCTGATCGACTTCTGTTTTCATTAACTCTATTATTTCACCATAGGTTTTTTGAAGAGTGTGGTGGGGGCCTGGCAAACGTCTCATCAGCACGGGAAAAGCGTTGTACAGCTGTCAATACAAACAAGAAGACTGAAAGTAAGACTACTAACAAGAGCAAAATCTGTTTCTAGAAGCAAAATGGTCCATCACAAGATCAATGAATCAACCAAGAGTACAAATCAAAATGCTTCCATTTATACTGAAGCTTTCATATAGTACCTGTGACCAAATGGAGCCTTCAATTTGGGTCCCTCTGTCAATCAAATTCATCATTTTCAGAAACTTCTCATCACTGTACTCATAGCGATGACCAAAAATCAGGGAGCAGATGATGTTGGAAACAGCTTTGTTGATGATGAAGTGTGGATTGAAAGGTTTGCCTGAGGAAGTGATCGCATGTTAAACATATCAAGACTCAAAATTGCACTTTTGACTTCAAACTTTTGACTTTACTGCATCTCTGAATTTGGAGATTTTGTGCATTAGCTTCCCTACCTTTATGATTTGCAATTTCTTTGGACAAGTAAATAAATTCATCCAATATAGAAAATTCCAGGGATTTCTTGCCAACTCCAAAGTATTTGAGAGTGAAGAGGGCAAATCGTCTTTGCTGTTTCCACATATGTCCATTAGTAAAAATAATACCTGAGGAGACAAATGGAATTTAGACTCAGCTTGTGACATAAATGAGTTCACAGAGTTCAAAACTCTAGGTCATTAGCAATGCTAGTGCATCACTTTTATAAAATCAGTACCCATTCTGATTTTACATTTCAATAAAAAAACTTATTGTTTATAGAAACTGTGTATGTACAGCGTCAGCCCTCGTGATGGGAGTATATTATCTTCAATCTACAAGGTTAGAAATAAACCTTTACCCAGTTCAGGGAGCACATCAACATGGATTGGAAATATTGGGCGGTCAGCCAGGATGTCTCCTTTTGTGAGAAGACCCTCCTGCAGGGCGTTGAGGCCATTCAATACCACCGTCCATGAGCGCCCCATTTTGAGGCTGTACACATTTCCATACGTCTCTGTTAACTGCCATAAGAACAACACAAAATAGTCACAAAAAAATTGTAAGATTTAGTTGAGGTTTTTAATTACTTACCTTTCTGTGACAAATAGGCAATTAGGATTTGACAAGACAATATTGACGCCTCCCTGTGAGTGTTATTATATTATAGGATAATCATCACTAGTGTATTAAACTGTAAATATAGTTTTACTGTTGTAGATAGTCAAAGTGGAGCTAATGTCATATATATATTCATAATAATATATTCATCTGAAGATAAATGTATGCATTATCTGAATTCTACCTTAGTCAGTTCTCTGTAGGCATTGTTGAAGTCCAAAGAGAACATGTTCCCCACAAGAGGAAATGCCGTGGGTCCTGGTGGAAAGTTGCTGGGCCGACGGTTCCTTAGATACTCTGCTGTCACCAAGAAGACCAGAGTGAAGACGATCAGACCGCGGCTGTCCAGCCACAGCCACGCAGAGGAAACAGACACACCAGAGAGTTGATCCATTCTCTCAACCTGCTGCCTCAGGGCATATCACAGGTGTAATAAAAGCACAGACGTCAATTCAGTAAACTCTGTGATCTACAGTGGGGTTTTTGGCTGAGCTGTGACCTCCTGTTCAAACAAGAGTGTTTCTGAGTAGGCCTATTATATCAGTGAAAGTGGGTGGAGGGCCATTGTCACTGTAAGGTGAAACACTTGTATCTCCTGAATGAAAACTTCTCAGGAAGATTTCAGAAACAAGCTTGCTCACAGATTGTCTCCAATTGCATTTGTGAGTTCACCAGGAATTTTTCTTTTTTATTATAACCTTAAAAGCACGTCCATCAAGTAGTTGATGTGTCATCTAACAGTTATATAATCATTTACAGCCTATTTATCCACGAGTTACAAGGTCTTTGCATGGCAGCAGCTTCATCTCTGGCCTAGTTCATGTACATTCATTGTTAAAAATCACAATTCATGTCATTTTAAGGTATTTTAATCTAATCTTAACATTGAATGTACAAAATATTTGATGCGCACATTATAGATATTTTCTGTAAAGACTGACATCCATACTCCCCCTGGGCCATAAGGAAAGGTTTAACTATAGCAGTTTTAAAACTAGTAGGGACAGTGCCAGTGGTCAGTCATACAGTAACAATGTTCTGCACTGAAGGTCCAAAACTGGCCAGAGGTCATTGGAGAGATTAGCTAGTAGAGGGCCAAGGAGGCGGATGGTGGGTTTAGAAGACAACACCAGATTAGACAATGACTCAAAAGATATAATCTTAAATTTTGTTCAAGTGGCTAAGAGACGGCTGCTTTTGAGTAAGTTTGTTGACAGTGTCAAAAAGAAATCTAGGATTGTGTTTATTGTTACTGATTTGCTTGTGTATAAAGTATTTCTGATTATCATATATTTAATCATTAGCAGCATTTTAAAGATTTTAGATTGATTACACATAAAAATTGAGTTGTAGCGACTTTTCTCTTCTTTGATGATTAAAATGAAGTTAAGTATGTACTGTTGAGTCCACTATTATTTCGCAGCAAAACTGGACTCGCGTGTTCGTTTGATGAAGTATGCAGGACACAGATTTGAAGTTCAACACGTCTAATTTATTAAAAGTATAGCCAAGCATAGAAGTTTGAGATTGCTTACAGAGCTCTGGACTCACCCTGCTCTCGTCTCGTCTAAGCAGAGTGCAGCACCTCCTTGTTTCAGACATTTATTCTTATACACACAATCTCCGTATAACCGGGTCACTCCGCCTCTTTTCTCCTCTCACCACTCTGACCTGAACATGTTATCTAAACATGTCATACTTGTACTTTCTTGTCGGTCCCTGTACATTATTCTGCAATCTCAAACGGCATTCAGTGTCACAATGTTCATAAACAATCATAATCATCAGTTTAAGGCTGATTTGCCTTTTTAATCATACAATGCATACAGTAGTAAAGATAACATATCCCTTCAGTACTTATTGTCATTGCAAATTATTTCAAGCTGGTTCAACTAAAAAACATAAGCCATAGGAATGTGAGACTTAGTACAAAGACAACATGCTGCATCCAATGACTTTGTTAAATTAGTTAAAGAGTACAGGGGTAAGACCTGGATTTGATGCTCGAAACAAGCATGACTTAATTCAACACGTATTAAAGACACAGTAGATTTCCATCAGGAACATTTTACTAAAACAACAAAACAGAGTTTTCACTCTGAAAAATATGCTGACAGTGTTTCTTAGACTTAGAGATATTAAGTCATAATCAAATAAATCTCATTCACTTACCTAGTTTGAATTTCATTTTTTATCAGTGAACAAAGAAATTGGAGTTGAAATTACTAACAATTGCAAGCCACAGGAGTTACCTATGTTATTGTGTCACCGCAACTCATTACAATTATGTTTACGATTCAAAAAGTTTAACTAAATCACTAAATCACTATCCCACAACAATGCATTTAGTTATGTAATGGTAAAAAAGTGCACTGAATGACTTTTTAGAGTGCATTTTGATGTATTCTCTAAACCCTGGAGCAGTAATAAAATCAGAAGTGGTGACAACAAGGAAAAAGGTTATTGCTTTTTGTCGTACTTTTTTTTGTGTCAGAGTGTTAGCGTGATGTTGCACAGATTTCATATTGATGCGGTGCCAGGGTGATGCCAAGACGGTAGTCCAACACAGGCTTCACCCCAGCAGGCATAGAGAAGGTGAAGTGCTGCATGAAAGAGGTGAAGAAGAGGAAAAGCTCCATTCTGGCCAGGTTCTCCCCGAGACACACCCGTTTACCTGAGACAGGAAAACAGTGGTAGTCATTCTCATAAGGCCTTCATAGGAAATAGATATGTTAATTGTTTTGGTTACCATTCAAAATTTTGTCCTGATTTCATTGCTAGAGGAAAGGTCAGAGGGTCACCAAGGTCTTTAGTCAAACATCACTATTGACAGAAATAATGATCAGCACTTCCTAGTCATCATCTTTTCAACCCCTCCCTCTTGGTGTGTCTTGGAAATACTTTATGAGAAAAACTGATTATTTTCACTGCAAAACCAAAACAAACCCCACCAGTCAGTAAATTTCTGGAATGCATGATCTGTGACACTCATCACAAAAAGGGCCAGGTTATGATCCCTGGCCTCCTTCCTATCCATGTTCTCTACACCCTAGGGTCCCAGGGTATGCTGGGACAGGCCACAGGTTCCTGAATAACCAAGTATGGATAGTAATAAAACAACATATAGTGTTGCTGCTCACCTGCAGAGAAAGGAATGAAAGCGGCTCGCTTCACAAATTTGCCCTCTTTGTTTAGGAAGTGTCCTGGATTAAAGGTATTGGGCGTCTCCCACTCGTTCTTGTCCAACAGCACCGAGGTCAAATTGGGAATAATTGTAACACCCTGGTGACAGTTCATAAATACATAACATGAAAATATGACATAAAACTACTTTTTTTGTTCTTTTACTACACTAATGGAGAAATGACCTTTGGGACTGTGTAGCCTCCCAGCTGGATCTCTCTGCTGGTGGAATGAGGCAGGCTGAGAGGAGCTATGTTGCCCATCCTCTGGACCTCGTGGATGACAGCGTCGGTGTAGGGCAGGTTAGCACGGTCCTCCATGGATGGCTGTCTGGACTGTCCAATCACTCTGTTTATCTCAGCCTGCACTTTTTCTGTGCAACAGGAGGGAAACTGACATTTGAACCGGTAATAAGAGGATATACAGTATTATTTTTACATGTAGATGTTTGTTGCACAGAGTTATTCATTACAGCATTTGTGAAGGACACTAGTGATTGCACAACACAGTATATGTCAGCTTGGAATACAAGTAGTAACATTATTTATCTAGGTCAATAAGTGTGAACTTGAGACACTCTAGTTGAATTTCTACATCAGCAAAATTACCATGGGCTTTGTCAGTGCTCTTACCTTGGATCTCAGGGTACTTTGCCATGTAGAGGAATGCCCAGCGCATGGTGGTGGATGTGGTCTCCGAGCCAGCCACAAACAGATCGAGGACACTTATAACTAGGCTTTCCTCATCAAAACTATTGTCAGCTTGCCCCTTATTCTGAGAATAAATTCAAATACATGCTGCAATATAACTCAGATTGACTAGATGTCAGTGGTATTGCAGACATTCAAACTCTTTTATGATGGCAGCTTTGCTTTTAACATTATTGAGGGAGAGTCAAATCAAAAAGAGGTGTACTCCGTTGGAGGTAAGAGTTTAAAAGATAGTGATATAAGGCAGAGACCATGGCAAAAGTGCATATCTGGTCTTTGCACTTTTCACCACATGCCAATCAGGAGTGGTGCCACAGTGAAACGTCATGGATAGTTGTGACATATGCGTCAAAAAACAAATATACAAAAGCTTCAAAAGCAACACAATATAAGCGATACAACTCAACTATCTAGTGCCAATCTCCACCTGAATCTCAGTAAGGAAGCAATCAATGTAGTCTCTTTGGTCGGAGGGATCCCAGTTCTGTTTGTGCTCTTTAAGCTCGGCTTTAATGAAGTCCTTTACATCATTCCAGATGTGCCTGCATCTCTGATGTGGCCCTGGCAAACATCTCATCAGCTGAGGGAATGAGTTGTAGAGCTGCCAAGAAGAGTCAGTTGGAACAACAACTTACAAATCAGACATTTCAGTGAAATTGTTCTATATGAGTGATAAACTGTTTCACAATGAGGCATGTGTTGATCAACAATAGTACACAGCCATTTTGATCAGTAAATTTAAAATGGAGTACCTGTGCCCAAATGCTGCCTTCAATGTAGAGAACTTCATCAAAGCTCCTCATCAGTTTCATGAACTTCTCATTACCGTACTCGAAGCGATGACCAAAAACCAGGGAGGAGATGACGTTGGAAACAGCGTTGTTCATGATGAGGTGTGGATTGAATGGCTTGTCTTCAACATTGAAAAGGGAATGTTATGTAAATTTTGCATTTGTTCATTATAAACATGTCACTGTGTGTGAACCATTCACCTTTATTGCCTCTGAATTCTTTTGCACAGTGTGTGAATTCATCCAGGATGACAGGTTCAAGTGACCTCTTGCCAAGTCCAAAATATCTGAGGGTTGAAAGTGCAAAACGCCTCTGCTCCTTCCAGATGCTCCCATTACTGAAAATTACACCTGATGGGAAATACACAGTGTGGAACAAACATCTCAAGTTTAAGAATTGGACTCTTCATTTTTAGCACTTTAGCAAAAAAATTGTAGGATAAAAATATATTAGCAATTGTTTGTAAAGTAACAGGAAAAAGCAGAAGAGAATCACTAAGGAGTGGATGTAAATGGACAAAAGCTCATGAAAAGCTGTGAAAAATATATACATATATAAAAATAACACAAACTATAATGAATGAAGACTGTAATTTCTGTAACAATGAATGATTGGGGAAAAAGTAAAATGTATCATATAAAATATTCACTTTACTTTCCTGTATTCACAGGCATCACATTAATAGTGAGTTTAAAATTTTGAATACACAATCTTTGTGTCTTACCTAGTCCACAGGCTATGTCGTCCTGCAGAGGTAATTCTGGGCGGTCGACCAAGCTATCTCCCTGCGTTACTAGAGCATCTTTCAGAACCTCGAAACTGTTTAACACCACCATCCATTTCTGGCCCATTCTCAGGCTATACACATTTCCATATTTCCCCGCTATCTGTGAGAAGGTTCAAGAGACAAGGGATAATGCTTGACATAACAGATGAGTCCTATTAGTAGACCTGTTGCATTTTTAATGGTACACTTTTGACACTGGTTTAGCTACCTCTGTCAAGATCTCATGAGTCTTGGTCTGGTCCACACTGAATATGTTGCCCACAAGAGGTAATGCCCAGGGACCTGGAGGGAAGTTGGCCGGCCGACGGCTCTTAATATAATCTGCAGTGAGGATGAAAACTGCCGTGAAGAGCAGCAGACCTTTGAAATCCAAGTTAACATAGGATCCAATTACAGAAAAGACCGAATCCATTCTGCAAACAAGAGGTCAAAACTGTATAACTGTGCTTTCTTTGCCCTCCTCTTCTGTGTGACAAAAGGCTGATGCTGTGTTGACAGTGGTCAGTAATAGCACCCTTCTCTCTCCTGTGAGTGAGAAGCTTGCTCTTATTGGCTCTTGGCAACATATCTACCAGCTGCACTGGACTCTAACCTCTTTTCAAGGGAAACTGATATCAAGCACTGTTAATCAATAACCATAAAATATTCAAGGTATGGAATGTAATTTGTTGTATAGTGTGAATAAAGGAAAGTGTGATCTTGTCCGATATAAGACAAAAAAAGACAGCTAAATTAAAATGACCTGATACCAACAAGCTTTTGGGAGCAATTGTGGTTCAGTGTCCAAAGACATTTTGACATGTGAACCACCAACCCTGTGATTACTGGATAGCCAGCTCTGCCTGCTGGGCCACAACTGGTTGCTAAAAGGACAAAAGTAGACTTACAAGGACAGTGGTATAGGCCTACTTCACACTGTATTTTCAACTTAGTGTATCATTCCTGCTGCTGTTGTAGTACTACTTTTCAACACATGATAGCAGTATAGATATCCATCAATTTGGCCGAGAGGAAGTAGACGATTCTGACTTTAAAATAAAATACATTTATTTGCTTGATTATAAAACAAGAAAAGTAACAACTTGGAAAATTGTTGCTGAGTCAGTGGAAGGGTAAATATAAAGGAAAACCTTTTCTTTCATAGTCTCCACGATTTATTCTATCATCTGCTTTGCCTCTGGACAATGTTTAAAGTAGCACGAAGTGGTTATATCACCACATTAATTGAGCCATTTTTATGGCTCAGGTCTGAATAAAAAAAAAGATCGACAGTTTTCAATGATCATGTACTCAATGAATATAACGGAAACCGAGTTGTCAAAAGGGAGGTTTTGTTGTGAAAGTTTTGCTGTGGTGACCGGAAACAGTGCGGTTTGTTCTCGCTGACTTGTTAGCTCGTGTGACCTGTGGTGTCCTCCAACAGTCGAGATTTGACAGCCGGTCAACTAAGGACAAAAGCACCAAAATCATGGTTTTCGAAGAGAAGATGATCATGAACGGAGAACCCGAGGATGTAAGTAGCTTTTATAGATTTAAGCCAGTTCTGCGATGCCAGTAACTTTTGTTTTTTTCAGCTAGCAAGCTAACACAACACGGCTAACTGAGCTACATCATTACCTAGCTTATGTTAGCATTAGCCGACGTAAACGTTCCCATCGTCATTGGGAAATATGATGTGCTAATGCATGCAACTCGATTAAAACGCAGCCCTAATTCATAGTCTGTGATGTTGGTTTGCCAGCTGTTGGTGTATTTTTGACGAAAAAGATAGCTAACAACTGTGTAATGGCTGTAGTGAATGATGTAACTGAATTGGTCGTGTCTGTCTGTTCCAGGAGGAAGAAGAGGAGGAAGAGGAGGAAGACATGGTGGTATGTTCATCAAAATATGTTAACTGTTTCTCTCTGTCGCACTTTTTACTGAACATATCTAATTGTCAGTTGAGAAAACGGGAATTTAATTTGAAAATGCTTGACAAAAAGACACTCCTCTACATGACTGGGCAACCAGAGGTGGGGTCATTAAAGGTTTTCTTCATTGCCAGGCCTTCCTCTAGGGTCATCTATAAATACATGAGGTATTTTCTCCCTCTTCATTTAAAAGAAACCTCAAAACTCAAAGCCATTGTAACCCCCTTTATTAACTGCTTGTCTCCAAACACAGTTTTGATACATAATATGTTAGAGGTGTCTGTAGTTGTGTGTGTGTGTCTTTGTGGATAAAGGGAGTTAACCCCTCAGAATTCACCTGCACACTCCTACTCTCAGTTGCCAGTTTATTGTATACAACTTCTATGGTCACTTTGGTTGTTTTGGTTGAGATTTTTTCAATATTAAGATTACCCTGGCTGATACTCATTGGGCAACAGATTGTAGTTCCGATCATCTACTGAATGAGTGTTTCCTATTGAAGGACACAGTTTAAGGTACATATAATGAATGCTGCGTATTCTGTTCCAGGATCCTCTTGAAACGGTGCGACAGAAGTGTGCAGAGACAGAGCACTGCGTCCACACTCAGGCACGCCTGGAGCAGTGTGAGACCAGAGTTGGGTCTCGGTCTGCGACAGAAGAGGATTGCACCGAGGAGCTGTTTGACTTCCTGCATGCTCGGGACCACTGTGTAAGTGTGAATGCAATAAGTAAGCAAATCCACCCCAAAGCAGCCAAAATTTGTGAGTACTTAATTAGCTAGTCATGTAACAGCTTGGCTAGCACTAGTTTTGTCAAAATTAATAGTTTAATGTGTTACTTTCAAATAGCATATGATTCATGTTCTTTTGGCAAACTGAAATGAACTGGTAGATGGTGCCGATTAATTATAAACAGCTGACTCGAAATACAAAGTTGAATTTATACAAATAAATCTCCTTTACAACAGGTGGGGTTATTTCATAGTCATTACAGAATTTTCCACAGCTGTCCTTTTTATTTATATGCAATACATACAGCAGTGCCGCTCAAGGTTGATCGTGCTTTTCATTTTAAGGATAGATCTTCACGGACTTCAGGATAAATTGCCTCCCTGTATCATAGAAATAATAAATGGTCTTTACAAAATTGTCCAAAATTAGCAAGTAAGACTTCAGTGCTCACAGATGGCCTTACTATAGAAGACATTAACTTCCAGCAACATGCAGCAGCAGTGAGCACCTTTTCCTCTAATTACCAAAAGGTTTTATTGAAATACAAGCTACTTCATCCATTTCCACTGTCTTTTTTATTTGACAGTATATACTTACGGTACAGAAAGGTCATATTGTACTGTAAGACTATCAAAATACTACATTAAAATAACATTGGTTTTGCATGTCCTTCACACATGAACAGTTTAGTATTTCTCTCACTAACTTCAGCTGGGGCATATCCGTGACCTTCATGTTACAAGTAGTAACTTTTAACTTAAGTGACATGAACTATTTAAGGCTCTTCAAATTACTTTACCTTGCACTGTGTGTAGTTGTTTTCATTAATGAATAACCTCTTATGTCCTCTCTCTAGGTGGCACACAAACTGTTCCATTCTGTCAAATGAAATCCCTCCTGATTGTTGAAGATGACATTCTTCAAATATTGTGTTATGAGGAGAACATGGTTTTTAAATACATCCATTTGTGGATCTGCTGTATGTTGTAACTTTAAATGTATACTAAAATGTATCTGCCCATGTGAAGAAACTTGAAGTATTTAACAAGGTACTCTGAGTCAACATTTCATTAAAGTGGCTGGCTTGAAAACCTTACCCTGTGTCACGAGTTTATTGTATGACTACAGACAGGTGACAAACTAAAGGAAAAACCTGAATAAATGAGTGAACAAACATAACAAATGCAGATAACTGTGATGCTCGTGCATTAGTATGATACATAAGGAAAAACAAGGGCAAGTGTTCCTCAGATGACTGAATATGCTAATGCAGGATGTAATCAAACTGTCAACAATTAGTGAGTGAATGAGTGAAATAATAGGGTTGCAGCGCATACACCCCTCATTACAAAGATCAATACACATTTGAGTGTTTTGTGGCACAAAAACAATAGACACTGGTCCACAGATGTGGGGAAAAAAGTGATATGGTCAGATCAGATGAGTCATCCTTCACCCTATTCTCAATGAGTGGGCAAGTGTACGTGTGGTGAATACCAAGAAAACAGTACCAGGCCTGAATGAGAGGATTCACTGGCTTTGCTTTGCAATCAGGGTTGTGAGGGAAATTCTCTGTATCATGAAAAGACAGAATAACTAATTCTCCTTTTTTATTTTTTTCCTTACCAAAACTTTCTTGGATCTTGCATATCACAAAACATTTCCCACTAAATGTTTTCCTATCAATGTCTACTAACAAACCAATTCAGTACATGATGAAAACACACCTTAATCATAATTTTCTTCACAGGGTCATTTTGCAGGCATGGTCTGGGTCAACTTGTCTCCTTATAGGGAAGCATCACTGCAAAGTTCTGAGTGATCACCTTCATCCTATGATGAAACATTTCTATCCTGATGGGAGGTCATGATGTTAGTTAACAACAACATACACAAAACACAAAAAAACATCTTTGGTCTGTAAAATTCATGCAGATTGCTGTTGCTGTTAGGTCTACACAGGCAATCCAAGGAGGGAAGCTGTTTCATCTTCACCAAAAAACAGAATTTGCCCTGCCTGTTACAGAAATTACAGTCTTCATCTAGGACGAAGGACACAATGATGTGACTTTAAAAATGAACACAACTGATCCAAGTGTTGCTGCAGTGTTGTAGGGTCTGTTCCCTACTTTCTGCATCTCGTTACTTTGAGGCGTGGCCTTGACTTGTTCCTCTGAAGTTAACCTGTTCCGGGGCAGGGCATTGCAGGAGTTCAGTTTGAGTTACCATGGTGATTTACTCCGGAAAAGAAGTGAACCACCGGTCAAACCTGAAGTTACCTCGCTAACCTCTAATCCCACTTTATACTGCAGGCCTCTGTGGAGTGTGGGGTGTATTAATTAAATTTTTATGTTGAATAAATTGATCATTCAGTTGAAATGACTGACTAAGGAGTAGCACTGGCGCCATCTACGTTGCTTAACGTCTTGCTTTGCTTTGTAGAAGTGTGGTACACATGCGGGTTTTTTTTGCAGTTGCAATGAAGGTTATTTAAGCTGAAGGTACTTCACGATAGATATGTCACTACACGGGTTAACCGCGCCCACCTGTTGACTTCACTGCTCTGACTAGCCCAGTAACTGCACACGCATGGCTTTAAAACCGTGTCTTTGTGTGTTAGCCTAAGTTAGCCGACGCTTTCCCTTGCGCTTGGAGCGATAAGACAAACAGGACAACCATGGAGAAAGTGGAGCAGTTTCTTCGGGGAGTGGAGCTGGATAACCGGACAGCGGCACTTATAACGGCTGCTGCATGCGGTGTGGGAGCTCTGGTGCTGATGGTCCGGAAGGTCACCAGCCATCGAGAGGCAAATGATAAGATCCAGAGAGCCAGGAACCGGAGGACCGAGAGCCTACAGCGGGCAGAGCAGGCTGTGCTCCGGCACAAGGAGTCGGTGAGAATTAGCTAAAGTTATGAGGGTATGGCTTGCCTGTTATGATCGAAAGTTCAAACACTCCTGCATTTAATTCACACTTCTACATAATTAAGTTCTTTAACATAAATACATTTCCTCATTTGTCGTCAACACGCTTGTCTGTCAATTTCTTTGTTTTATCAGGCTGTTATCGCGGACATTTTGACCTGTCATGGCAGGGCGAGCTCAGCGCTAACATACTGTTAGATGATGCTGTGTTATTTACATTATTAACAAACCAGCCTGTACATTAGTGAGTCAGGGGACACTTGCAGCACAGTGTGTTTGACCAGTGACACTTGTGTGTAGACAGAGAGAAAGGTATTCATAATAGCCGTAAAAGAGCCTTTACCCACACAGGTGATGGTTCTTCTTGCTGATAAGATCACTGGCCAGGTTAAAGTTAAATATAGGCAGGGAGTTTTCTGAGGTCACCAAACCAGAGAGTATGTACCAGTATTGATGAAGGTTGAATAAACTTCCCCAAACAAGTTCAACTAATACAACAGGAGAGTGAGGGAGATAATCTTAACACACTCAGAGACTACATTAGTTTATATTTTTATGTGTGTGTGTGTGTGTGTGTGTGTGTGTGTGTGTGTGTGTTTTCTAGCATCCAACAACTGACTCTGCTGCTATCTTGAAACTGTCCCTCTCTGAGTTAACAAAGCAACTGCGGGAAGGCTTGCTGAACCCTGAGGATGTGTTTTACTCTTACATGGAAAAGGTATGTTACACACCATAACAGCTCATTTACCAGCACAGAAAAGCAATCATGGAAATGAATTTCCCCTGATTCTTAGTGTTGTATTTGTGCCTGGTTAGGCACTGTGTTTCACTTTGGAACAACCACCATAAAAATCCTAAATAAATCATTATTATTATCTCTACAGGGATCAAATTTAGAGCCACCCACAGTCTATGGGCTGAAATATTTGCTGCTTTTTAAACTTGGTTTGTGTATCAACACATTTCTTATTTTTTGGACTTCTAATTACAAGAAAAACCTTGAACAATATGCAAAGTCATTCCTTCAAGGCTGCTGGCCTAAAGTCATCTCTGTTATCAAGCAAATATTTATCTACCTGCTTTCCTTTCACTAGAGTTTCATGTTTTACATAACCGGTCTTTTGGAGAAAAGGCATAAATATGAACCTATCTGTGCTTTTCTTTTCTTTTCTTTTCTTTTCTTTTCTTTTCTTTTCTTTTCTTTTCTTTTCTTTTCTTTTCTTTTCTTTTCTTTTCTTTTCTTTTCTTTTCTTTTTTTCTTTTCTTTTCTTTTCTTTTCTTTTCTTTTGTCACAGACTCTGGATGTACACAAACAGCTCAACTGCTGCACAGGGATTTTGTTGGAAAGTTTCGACCAGCTAAAAACTATTGCCTCCAACAAGGATGGTCTCTTGTATGGAGTTCCAATTAGTATCAAAGAAAATATTGCATACAAGGTAATTTGTTGTTATATATATATATGTATATATTAACATAATCAACTCAATAGCAAATACACTGACAGGGTTTCCAAATATGAATGCGCTAGTGTTGTGGCATTCTTGATGTAGCTCAGGTTTATGTCTTTGATGTGCCATTATCTGACACTGCTCTCTTTGTCCATTTTCATTTTACAACACAAGAATCATGACTCTTCGTGTGGTGTGCTCATTAATCTGGACCAGCCTGTCCACAAGGACAGCGTGCTTGTTGAGGTTCTGAAGAGACAAGGAGCTATTCCCTTTGTGAAAACCAACTTACCTCAAGGCTTGTTAAAGTAAATCATTTCTACATCAAGTTATCGTAAAGTTAAGCTGTGACACTGTGTCACATTCTGTACAATATTATGTCAACACAAAGGGTAATATCTCATTTTTAAACGTGCAAAGGCCGTGACGCCCGTTGCTTAACAATGTTTTTCTTTTATTGTCTCATCTCCAGTTATGACTGCAGTAACCCAATTTATGGGCAGACCGTGAACCCCCATAATCTCCAGAAGACCTCTGGAGGTTCGTCCGGTGGGGAGGGGGCTCTCATTGGTGGAGGAGGCTCTCTGCTTGGTTTAGGAAGTGATATAGGGGGCAGCATCCGTATTCCTGCCTCTTTCTGCGGGATCTGTGGCTTCAAGCCAACGGCGGGTCGGCTCAGGTGAGTATTTCTGCTGCTGCCAGTTTTATGGATATTCATTGTGCAGTCATGACAATTTGCACTAGACTTTTATCTTAACTTTGTTGTATTTCTTTGTTTCTTGGTCAGTTCACAGGGTGTGAGGCCCATTTATCGAGGGCAAAAGTCAGGTAAGGTAATAAAATCCATTATTCATCTACACACTGATGCACAGAGTTACATCATCACTTCCACAATATGTTTTGTCTGCTAGGTTTGGCCACTGTTTCTTATATTTCTTACAAATTTAGTGCTGTCATCTGCTGGACCCATGGCGAAGGATGTGGAGAGTCTGGCTCTGTGTATGCAGGCTCTGCTGTGTGACCACATGTTTTCCCTGGACCCCACTGTTCCACCTATACCTTTCAATGTGCAGGTGTGTCAATTCAAATCAAACTTTATTTATGTAACGCAATCACACTAATCATACATTTTGTCATTTTTATACTTTGTTTTTTTTTTGTACGGATTAAACAAATGGGATATAATATGAACATTTGGGAGCTTTAGAGGTGATGGCAGGCAGATTTTGTTATCTTTGGACAGAGTCAGCTGTTTCCCCCTGTTTCAGATCTTGATGTTATGGGCTGCTGGCTGCAGTTGCATATTTTAATTCTGTACACCATTGAGTGTGGTATCAATCTTCTCACCAAAGTCTCAGGAAGAAAGTGAACAATTGTATGTCTGAAATATCAAAGTATTACTTAAGGGTAATGTTGCACCATACAATGATATTTTAAACAATAAAGTGCCTCCAGCTTGCAGCTTGGACAACGGCAAACACTTTGAAACTGCAATGGCACCTCAATGGTGATTGTTAACCTTAAGAAAGTGGGGGAAAAAATCCCTGCAGTCGGGTTCTGGAGTCTTTTGAAAAGATTTCCCAGAGGAGGCGATACTGCCTTTTGTGTTAAGCTAGGCATAACACGGATCCTTGTACATGTCTATGTACTGCATTGACAGACTGAAATGTAATTATAGATGCATTGAAATCTGGGATCACTCCTCGTACCAATTTCCTGTTAGAAACAAAAAGGTGTTGCCAGATATTCCAAAGTAGTTGCAGTGTCCTTTGTGTAATTGTGTTTCAAAATATTGACTCCTCCTGAAGAGAGTAAGGAAAGGAAACATGCTGCCAATTCAGTAGTAATCATTTGAAACTTTGCTTCTGTGGTATAAGTCTCTCATGGTGATGAAAACTCCCTTAAGTGGTTTGCTGCCTGTTTTTCGCACCATGGTTGTTTTCTCTGGGGGACTGTGCTCTGCTGTGATGATAATTAGTTGAGTTCACCCGTATAAGGTGCAGTGGAAACATGAAGGCACATTATTATCCATGTCTGCGTTTATCTATCATCATGGATTTATCAAAGTAACAAGCTGAGCATACGTTAGCAGCAGCTCGGCTCATCTCCCTGGGGATGATTTTTAACATGAAACTGCCTTATCCTGTGTTTTTACTGGTTTTAATGACCTGGTCCACTGATTTGGAGAGGAGGAGACCTCTGTGGGAAACCGGCTACCTAAAAAAAAATATCTTCAATTATTGACACTGAAGGAATCCAAACCAGGAATAGCTCACTGCAGTGATGGCAATGGTGGTGAAAACAGCAACTCCTATGATCCCATGCTATGTCACCAAACTCCATCTTTTGTTATTGTCTTGATTGTGAGATCCTTAGCAGCAGAAAATTACATTCTGTGTGTTAAACAGAAATATTAGCAGGCAAAGCTCAGGCACATTAAAACCCACAAGTTAAATCTACAGGTCATTGTCAGTAGAGTTATCCCATTTCTTGATTGTGCCTTAATTCAAGCTTTACGACAAATGAAAAAAAAGCCTCAGCCTCCTATCAATAAATATTTATTAATTAAATACCGTAAATGAATCTGTTAATGTGTGTTTCCATTCAAATGGTTCACGGAGTGAAAATGTTTATCCTCAGATATACCAGAGCTCCAAACCCCTGAGGATCGGTTACGTTGAAAGCGATGGCTACATGCAGCCGTCTCCAAGCATGGCCCGAGGCATCAGAGAAGTCAAAGCACTGTTAGAGCAAGCAGGCCACACTGTAAGACCAAAACACACACTGACACACACTGTATGATTTATGGCCATCTAAAATATGTGATATGAGGTGTATGCTTCCGATGCAGTCACTTTTTCCCTTTCGGCCATTTGTGCCTGTAGCTAGTGCCCTACAGTCCTCTGAGGATGGATTACGTTGCCACTGAGCTGTTGGTAAAGGGTATCCTCGCAGACGGAACTACCACCCTGCTACAAAAACTGTAAGTTTAATTTCCCTTTAAGATCAGTGTGGTTATTGTTAATAAGCTAAATAATTAGATAATTGTGAATAACTGAAGTGTGGAAGAATAACGGCACTTATCTTTATGTCTTTTGGCCTTTCAATCAGTTGGTTTTTTGATTAATTGCTTCGTTTTTGATCGGCCAATAGTCCAGTCCAGTTCTGGTCAGTTGGGCAGTTAGTCCACACTGAAATACCTCAACGCCTATTTGATGGATTGCCATGAAATTTGGTGCATACATTTATACTCCCTCAGGATGAATCGTAATAACTTCGGCGAGCTCCTGAGTTTTCATTTAGTGCCGTAGCCAGGTCAAAATTTAAATTAGTTCAATACTTTGATTTATGACTGAATACCTAAAACAACTAACTTTGTTTTAGTTTTGTTTAGCAAATGTTAGCCTTCTGACAAACTTAACTCAGGTGATGTTAGTATGATCTCAAAGATGTGCAAACATCACAGAGCTGTGATATTAGTTTTTGCTTTTTGAAGACTATGTTCTAAAACTTTATCAAACCTCACATTGTTTCTTTCAAACTATTTACAAAAAAACCTCCGAACAATTGCTTTGAACAGATTGTTCTATTTTGTGCCAATGATCTCTGATTCTGTTTTAGGGAGGGAGGCCCTCTGGACCCCTGTCTCAGAGCACAGGTTATCCCTTACTATCTTCCGACGTGGTTGAAGAGAACCCTCTCATTCCTCCTAAAGCCCCTGGTGAGTTAAAGACCATATAAATCTTCTTTAGGGACAACTAGGATAACATTAGTTTGAAAATTACCTTGGTTGTGTACTATATGATAAAACACCTACAATGAGTCTGACAGTGTGTTTCATGTCATGTTTTGCAGTCTCCTCGTGGTTCTGCCGTCTTCAATGCTATCAGTGGAGTTAGGTGAGAGAGTTGTCTTGAAGATGACAGTTTGTTCTCGAGGCTTTGTTACACAACCTTACTGTACGTGATGGACCGAATGCCAGAACATGCTGACTCTTTCTCTGCCTTCTTTTCAGATCTGTTTCAGATCTGTGGAAGCAGCATGCTGCTGTCGAGGTACTGTTGTTCAAAAGTATGACACTTGTGCAAGAGTGAGTGCACACAAGGGGAAATTGAACTCTCATGTGTTTTCATTAGGACTACATTCAAGAAACAATAGCTGATTGGAAAAGATGCAACATAGACGTGCTGCTGTGCCCTGTGATCGGACCAGCCTACAACTTCTTATACTGCGGCAAGGTTACCCGTACGGTATACTCAACTGATGTTTGTCAAATAACCGAAATGGCATTGTTAATGAATAGAGTCTGTCCATCTGTATTCTTTAACCTATAGTGTTTTCTGAAAAGTAAATATGAGGTCAGAGGTGTTCTGTCTTAGCTGATAGTTTCCATAAATCACGTATAGCTGTACAACATAAAAAGCAAATCACTTAACTGTTTTAGTAGCTTGGGGCAAAACCGTAATGATATTTATATTTTAAATTTATATTTGGCATTTAGAGAAATGATAATGAATTCAAAGAATGTGTCATGAGCCACACTGATACTGTAAAAATGGCTAAAAACAGCAGCCGCTCTTCCTGTGAGGTTTCTCCAGACTCACTCTGGTTACTGAACAAGAAAATCTCTTGTTTTCAAACAGTGAAGCAAAACAGGAAATTACTGTTTCACACATGAAAATTGCGGTCTTTATTTACACAATGAAAAATTTAAAAAATAAATAAAAAGATGATGTTATCATTTTCTTAATTACTATAAGACACATAAAGAAATCTGACTTGATTATCTGCCAAAAATCAGGAAAATTCACGTAAAAGTGATAAAACACTGTCAACCCAGCATATCACCACACTAATGATCAAATATTACTATTATAAAAGCAGGTGTAACAGAGTGAATAACTCATTTCTATTTTCTGTCCTTTCAGCCATTCTTTCGTACACGATGCTTTACAATCTCCTCACCTTTCCTGCCGGTGTAGTTCACGTTTCCACGGTGACAGCAGAGGATGAGGAGGAACTCAAGCACTATAAAGGCATTCATCAAGACCACTGGGACAAGCTCTTCAAACAGGTAGGAAAAACCAGTGAGAGGTGACTGTTGCCAACTATATAATACAGTAGATCAACACTGTTAAGACTAAAAAACTTTTTTTTATTAATAGTTTAAATGTTTATTCAGTGCCATAAATAGATGCCAAATAAACAACTTACAGTATTCTGATATACAAAAATATCAACAAATAGCCGACAGCCATGGTCAAATTATGAGACAATGAGCCCTTAGATACATACAAAGGCATAAGAGCAAGACAAAAATGACTTGTGTCTTTTGTGGTCGTTTTGCATCACTTTGTTCTGGATTTGAGTCTCTTTGTTGTTTTCTTTGATTGACTGTCAAAAAAAAATAAATTAATAATCACTTCAGAGAGTCTGGTAGGGCGAGCAGCAAGGGTGGCATACCTCCTGCACTTGTGTTCCTGCGTATCACCCCAAACTTAAGCGCCAGGCCACATTAGTGACTCTCATAAACTGTAGTTCCACTTTTGGTCAGTAGGTGGAGGCAGCAGACTGTGATGGTTCTGGTTACTGACTGTTTTCTGACTGGAGTCTGTGTCTGTGTTCAGGCTGTGTCTGGAGGCGAGGGTCTGCCTGTGGCTGTGCAGTGTGTCGCCCTGCCGTGGCAGGATGAGCTCTGCCTGCGCTTCATGAAGGAGGTGGAACAACTGGTCAAACAGAGCAGAGATTAAACCGAGGGGCCACAGGTAGAGCGACAAACCTCTGTGACTTCAGGTTAAATTTGCTTTGAGTACAGCAAGTGTATTGTTTGTGAAAACACAAACAATGAAATATGAGTAAAAGTTAAAACAATTAATATTGTTTTAGAAAGAAACGGTAGTTGAAGATTTTTAAATCTGTAATAATTTGAGTTTCACTCTCCTATTTATCTATTTAGTATTTTCTGCTCTTTTTTTGATCATAATAAAGATCGACTAAAGGTTTACTGTTAAACTCAAACAATAGTCAGGTTCATTGGTACTTTTCTGCTTGTGTTTGACTTGGTCATTGACGAACCTCAGGATTTTAACAAATCATTTAATTTATATCGTGCTTGTAAGCGCTTACGAGTCTAACTGACACTCACAGTTATAATTGTACGATCTGTAGATCATAGATCTATAATCTATTCTGTTTTGCCACCACTGGTATTGTTTAACATTTAATGTCATACAGCATGAACAGGAACTACAATCCATGAGCAAACTGAATTCACATTGGGCAAAGAAGCACTCCGACCACATGCAAAGATGTTTAAAATAAGAATTTATAATGAATGCAGAAAATAATATTTTCTTGTCAATCATGTCTGACTCTTTTTACAAGAACTGGCAGCCTATTATTTTACAATGTCTGAGAGAAATCAGTTACTTCGTTTTATTCTCAGAGGAGCCAGTTTAGTTTTCAAATGTTGGAAATCAGCAATAACATACTGTGCAGGCAAGATATAATCCACTGTTCCTCCACTGCTTATCTGTGTCAGTCATTACTCAGGATCATTTTTTTTTTTTAACATGTTGTTTTTGATCTGATATTTGCAGCTTTTCAAACCTGTACATTAAATCATTTTATGTAGTTTAATATTTAATAAACTAACTTCATATAATGTGCTGCACCCAGCAGCTGTGAAGACACAAAACCTCTTCCTTCACCTTATTCTTTACCCTCCACCTCTGCCTCTCCATCACTGTGCCACAGATGAGCACAGGCCATTTTCATTCTTTTTGTGAGTGATTGTTGCACTGATGCTATAACAGGAAACAAAAAAGAGATAAAGAAGACTAATGACACATGGCGCCTCCATCTATGAGGCCAGTGCACCATGTCGTCATATTGTGATTACCCTGTGCTATTGTAAATATGTGTTTCTGTTGGGTTAACATAAATTTACATATGTTTTAAAACTCTCCTGGGATGGGAAACCATTAGGGACAATGTTAGTGTTTTCCATTACAATCGTCCACGTTTGCACTGGTGTCTCATTGAATGGAAATGACCGTGTGCGTGCGGTAGAGGAAGGAGGGCACATTAGGCTTGGAGGAGAGCTGGAATTGAGAGGTTGTTCTTAGCATTATCTGTGGCACATAGAGAGAGAGTGTGTGGCTCTCGCTGTGCCACTCAGTCAGGGAGCATTAAGCTTTAAGAGGCAGTGAAGAGACTCAGGTCTTCAGAGGGAACTTGACATTGTTCATAAATCCCTCAGGATCTGAGACAGAAGCAATGACATACACACATATACACACACCCACACACACACACACACACACACACACACACAAACTCAGCCTTCAAATTGGCCCATTAAATACATTTACAGTTTGGCAGTTGTGTATTATACACATTAAAATCAATTTAAACATGATTTCTATACTGTAGCACTTTAAAAGCATCACAGATGATGAAAGCATAAGTGATATAATGCAGAAGACTATAATCGCCAAATATAGCATTTTAAACAAAATACCCATATATAAAAGAAAAACAGTGATTAAACTGATTTTCACTGATTTTTTTTTTTTTTTTTTTCCTCTTTTTTTTCCCTACGTAATCCTAACATTATCTTGTTTGAGTCACACAATACTGGCAAAAAACACAGACATGTCATCCTTGTTAAACATGTTAAAAGAATGTGCCAGACTATGAATGTCGGAGACTTAATTTTTGCTGTTAGGGCCAACTTTCATACAAGAGACTGCAGATGAAAATTAATCCATTGTGGCTAACACAAAGCATTTACTTTTTAACAAATGTAAAACTCTCCTTGATAAATGAAAAAATAACTAATGGCACCAAGCCAACTCATAGTTTGAAATCTATACTAACATGACATATCTCCTCACTATGAACCAGTTTCTGGACTGAATATGTAAATGAAAACATGAACCCAAAATCTCATTTCATACAACTTTTTACAGTTTGTAAAAATTGTTTTTATTGAATTAATAAGTATTAATAAGAAATCATTCATCTGTAATAAAGGAGAAATAGAAAGTGTCAAACATCTGTATTAGTGTAATGTATATTTGTACATGTGTACATTTACAACATGGATTGCAAAAAAAATGTATATATGACATTTTCTGGAACTTAGACTTGAGGCATTAACATTGCAAGTCGACCGTATCAACTCCAACTCTGGCAGCTATCAAGACACTAATATTTAAAGTTCTATCAAGCGATTTCAATATCAAATCAACTGGCTTGAAAATGTCTCTAGTACTGTTGATCCCACTGATAATCAACACCCAGTTATGCAGCTTTTCTGAACTTTTAGCAATTATCAGCTAATTGCTTTCATCTGCAGGTCCATATGTTTGACTCCAGTGGCTCTCATCAAGGCCCCCTATAAAACCACTTGCCGCTGACAAATATAGATGTGCTATTTGTGCACTATGGAGACGCCGAGTAATACTTAAAGCAGAGTACTGCTGCATAATTTAAAGCTTTGAATACCTTTTCCACCATTGCACAACTTTATGTGAAATAAAACTTTGTCAGTGCAATCTAAGCCAAATCTAGTATCAGTGTAAGAAAACTTTGTAGATGCCATGATGTAGTCATGATGTTATAAATAATACCGGACCTTGATTTAACATTCGAACTTGCAAAATAAAGTGAGGGAAATAGTTGAAATAGTTTGATAAGTTAAATGTAGACGGCACCTGGCCAAAGCTCAGCCTGTTGTAATCGTACAGCAGAACGGTTCAACAGCCCCAACAGGCCGAGGTGCTCTTCTCATGTAACGTCTCATTGATAAGAGCAGCAAACACCTCATTTACAGGAACCTTAGGCTGTAAGATCAGGTACTTTAAAAGCCATCCAAACACATTCAGACCCTGCCTGTGTGCCAGCAAATAAAACACCTTGATATCACCACAACTAAACTAGGATGATTCTGTCTTAATGTCCCATTTCAGGGACCAAGGATCCCATAGTCTTTATGGTTCCACAGAATTGCAAGTAGTAATGTTTGACACAGCAGGGCTCCTGCCTTTCAGATGATCAAAGTGACAAGTTCAGCCTGCAACCAGAGCCACTTACAGGAGACATCAAGAAGCAGCAAGATTGGCAGCTTTTAGGTCTTTGGTCCATTTCATCAGCCATTACTACCAGCAGAGGCAGCGTGCTGCGGAGGACTAGTGGGAGGAGGGGAAGGCAGATTAACAGACAGCTGATACAGGTGTATAGGCGGTATCAAACAGCAGCTCTGTCAATACAGCAGGCTCCAAATTTCTTCAGAAGGGGCTGGGATCCCCGAAGTATGCCCACCGATTTCACTATGACAGGATTAACTGGGAGCTCCGTATGATTTTCTCAGATTCTGTGACTCAACAATTCAGTGATCCACGTTCTATCGGCTTTAAAGGCCCCTATCCCAAGTTTGAAAAGCTTACCCTTCGGACAAGGGACACTCTTTTTCTCCAGTGCGGTTCCGCTTTCCCTTTTTTGCTGCATTCAGTTGTTCATCAACCCCCGCGTCCTCGCCAGCTCTCCCATCCTCTCTTCTCTGCACATCTGCTAGGTTTGAGTTTTCCTTTCTTCCCTCCAGCGCCTTGCTTGGCCCAAGGCCCTTATAGCCAAATTGGTTTACATTGGAGAGATAAATGCTCTGCAAATGCGCTTAAACACGTACAGTAAAAAATGCAGACAGTGCGTGTCAGGATTATCACCCAAGTCAGGGGGAGAAAGGAGAGCGTCGCTGTAGCACAAAGCTGGGGAGCCAGAGTGAAGCCTGCAGATATAGTCCGTCTCATCCACTTCTCAGGAGAAAGAGAGGATTTAGCATTTGCATGCTAGTCTGTAATTCCTGGCATTATATAACTTGTCGCCAACAATCAAACTCCTGTGGTATTGTGAAAGTATTGTTTCACATGGGTGAGCAAAGTGTGGAGTTACACTCTTGGGGAAGGGGTTTTTGGTGGCAGCATTGAGACAGCTGGTCCAAGATGCATGGGAGAGACCACCCTATAAGCCCAGTCAAGAAAAATGATCCTGCAGCACAACTTCAGGCCCAACTAGAGAAGGTGCAACTCAAAATCCTCTCAAAATATTCAGCTTGGGGGCATAAATGACTCACCTTAACATGGTTAGTGATATGTAGAAAGAGGATGATCCAAACTGCTTCAGCAAGTGAAAAATAAACATCTGTTGTTCCAAAGATGCAGGTCTTAAGCTGAGTCTTACAGCTTGTGAGTTAAGATGCTTCTAATGGGATTACTAATTGCATTTGATATTTATTGTATTTTACGGAAAGAAATATGTAAAATTAGTGTTTTCACATGTGAAATGTCTGTAAACCACATATGCCAGTATGTGATTTCAAATCGTAGTTTTCATGAGATGTCTTACACTTAATGTGACATATCAAAAATCCCATGTTCATACATATTTTGAATTTATAAGTAAGTAAAATGGGTAAAATGTTGCAGAAACCACATGTTCCTCTTTGTGTAGTTTTCCCATCTCTCGGAATTCAGCATGTGATGACTTTTATTTATTTATTTATTTTAATGTAATGTGCACAAGGCCTGCAGTTTGAAATTAGCTTGTTGGTAAATATGATATTTGCTTGAGATTAAATTTTATTTACCTGGACAAATAGATTATGATAAAAGTTTTGATATTTAAAATTTTTGTTATTGTCAGCAAACCCCATGAAAAGGCCAATACTGACTTCCCCAGGCTTTGGCACTACACCTGAAACCCAAATGTTTCTAAATATGTAATGTTTTTTAATTGATTGATTGATTGATTGATTGGTTGATTGATTTATTTTAAAAAGGTCAAGTAATATCCTAAAACAGCTGTAGTTTTTATCTAATGTTACTCAAACAGGAGGAAATAGTGCATTTGTTGGGGACTATTTTCAGTTGTGGATTAATACACATTTGATGCTCTAGTGAGTATTTACAGCAGCATGATGGTATATGTATCAACTCAAAATAAATCATAGTGCCCCTGTTCATTGCAATGGAGGAACATGTCACCCAGTGCAATGGAGTGGCTCACTGATGTGCTATATTTATAGTTTTTGGACAATAGTGAAGGTCTATGGCACAGAGAAATAAGCTGCATCAGATTTTGGTTACATTGAAAATACGCGTACTTAAGAAGTCTTTTCATTAAAAATCATTTGAATCAATTTTAAAAAATCTAGAATATCACAAGAATTATACTTTGATAAAATAACTAATCACAGCAGAGGGCCACTGTAAACAGTCTCAGAAGTGCGTGCAAGTGTATATGACACTCAAGGATCTCAAGGTGAAAGAGGTCTCACTTGGTGAAGACAGGCAGGGCTTATAGACACAAAGTGGATCCTGAAGATTCAGGAAACAGCATTCTCCCTTCCCACCTGCTGCTGCTTCTGCTGCTGTCGTCCCCTGGGGGACACCAAGCTGCTGTCCCTGTCTGCTAGCATCAGTGTAAAACCCTTCCACATGCTCTGCCATGGGGATTTGGGTGTAAAACTTCCAAAAAAGACCACAGTTCCCCCCCAACCCCCCACCCCCCCACCCCTCCTCCCCAAAAAAGGCCCCTTTTCTCATCCCCACGACCTACCCCTCCCTCCAAATCAACACCGTCCCCCTCAGACCTCCCAACACAAAGCCCTCAGAGCAAACCCAGCACAGAAATCATAGCACACCATTCAATCATTGTTTTTTCCCCTCTCTCACCCCTTTTATGGTCCCACTAAAGGTTTTAGCTGGGCAGAGAAGGAGGGCTGTCACTGAGGAAACCTTAGCCCATTGATGAAGTGACAGGAGCTGCCAGAATATGATCCTAATCCTGTTTCCAGCATTCTTTTAGCCCGCTGGCATCGCAATTCCTCCACACATTCTCTGAGCTGTCAACTAGGAAAATCCCTCTAATAGCGCATTGCCCAGATACACATCAAAGAGCTCCTGGAAACCTTCAGCGGCTTAGCTGCCATAGACACACTCACACACACACTCTCTCTCTCTCTCTCTCCCTCTCTCACACACAGACACATACGCAAAGACAGCATTCCCGTTAATTTACACCCATATGATGTTTCCAAACACACAAAACCCAGACGTTCATGACAAATTGACCACATATTTAAAGAGAACACCCGAAAATAACCTACAGGCATTTGTAAAAATTGTCTTGTCAGCCTCAAGCTTGTTTTTATGCATTGTAACCGGCCCCATACTAAACCTCTCACCCCTCTCACCTCCCCTTCTGTAGTTAGAAAGTGATATAATCTTTATGGTCATGCAGTGAGAAACCGGGAAAGAGCAGGAGAAAAAAAAAAAAAACAGGTGTCTGAACTTTGCTGACTCCGGGAACCCTTTCAGTCCTATTTTATCTCATTCTATTCTTACTTAATCCATCGATATCCCAACCAAAGGTAATCTTCTTATGGCAAAGCATTCTGTTTCGGTGCAGCCAAACCTCGATTGACAGGGGAGGGGAGCAAGTGAGGGAGAGAGTGTATGAGGGGTGGATGGATGGGTGGGTGGTGGATTGGAGACTCTTTAGAGCCTGACACTGTGCTTCAGTCATTTCATTTAGGATTAGTTATTCTGCAGCGGGTGAACAAGTGGCAGGCTCTCCCCTATGTGGTGTGTAAACCTCACCGTCGAGGATGGTAGACCTCCTGCGTCTAAATTATTTACGGATCATCAAGCTGTCTTCAGTGGAACATATTAACCAAACTTTCAATTTTTTTTAATATATAAAAGGTTTGAAGGTAATGTGTGTGGAAAGATTCAGTTTTCTGTCAGTCCCACTCAGCGCCATCAGACAGCCGCAGAGGAGCCAGATTCGGCGCACCCTAAACTAATCCCTCTCTTGTTGCCAACTTCCTCTCACTTGAGAAACTTTGGAAAAAATCATTTTTGGAAGACCTATGTTGTGAATGCGTGTTTGTGCGCATATATATGCATGTTGGTGAAATGTCCTGCTGTGTGATTATAATGTTTACCGCTTGTCTGGTCTCCTTCTGACTCACCTTGTAGCTGACCAAGGTCCAAAGTTTCAGAACTGCCATTTGGAAAATTGTATTTTCGGATCACATTTATGCAGTATTTCTATATCCTTAATTCAGAATGTTACACAGGGAATTCCGCTTTATGTTTGTTATTTTCTTTAATTTTGAGTAACAGGTGTTAATTCTTTTAGGCTGCGTTTCCCTCTTTGCTTTTGAAAAATGGCAAAATGAGGCAAGTAAATATTTTCATGCTCTATCCCGACTGACAACACTGAGAACAGGAGTCATTCTTAAGTGTGATTTATTCCCTTGAATTAAACAGATAAATTACTCACATTTCAAACAATTGAGAAATACATGTCTTGAATCTACATTGATATAATACATAGAGAATTGGCCTGTGCGTCTTTCTGCTGAAGCCACTGGTGCAGGAAAAAAAAGTGGTGGGTTCGATCTGGCACCCGAGTTAACAAAAATATACTGTATGTGGGCTGGGTTCATATTTATTTGTGACCGTGCCTCCTCTTCAGATTCTCCCTTTATTTCATTTCTGCTGTAGGTCCTTTTGCTTAAAGCCACAATTGAGAAATGAATTGAATGTTTTCTGTCAAATCCTTCACATAAAAAGCGACATGGAGTTACTCTTTAACCAGGCAGACGGAGGCAAACACTGTGGGATATTTACAACGCTCAATGGATTCTTGCAGGTAGAGCTGTAACTCTAAACAAGGAGAGGAGAAAAAAAAAAGCCCAAAACAAAAACCGTATGTCTTGGGGATTATAGTGACTGGTCTGAGCTTTATTTCTAATATCAGATCTGATGTGACTTCATTCTGTGTTGTGCGGCTGTAAGCCATGCTTCAGAGAGGTGCATGCATGCATAGTTCACGTTCAGGTGTTGGATTATAGAATATTTTAATATCTCGTGTCTGTCCAGGAATGAGACTGACGGCTCTGTGTTTCAGGACCTGACTTTACAGAGGAGGCTCAAATCATAGTGAGCAGCTAGCATTAGAAGAAGTGGCTCAAGCTGTTAATCAGGAGGAGTCAAATACAAGCAAGATCCATCCACACAGGCAGAGAGAACTGCTCAGTCATAACTGCAGTCCAGTTGTTTTTTTGTTTTTTTTTTTGTTCATTTTGTTTTGTTTTTTTTTGTCCATCGAGTTCTTGTTTTCTGTTAAGTCTGTCCAGCAGCAATGTTCTTCATGTTGTGGTGAGCTCCCAGCAGGGAGCTGCGTGCCAATATGAAGACGATGGGGTGAAGGTGAGGGAGGGGCCCCTAAAGTGCCTGCTCTGAAACACATTTGTGGTTTTCATGTGTGCCTAAAAATATGTTGTTTCTACTGTTTGTCATTTCGCTCTGGTTTTGAAATTGAGTTCAGCTGAAATCTAGGAAACTGCAAACAAAACATCCTCAGCGGTTGTTTTGTTAAATTATGTGAAAAAAGCACAAATTTGAAATTCGGACAGATTTTGAACAGAGGAATTTTTTAACTTATCGTTATGACAGCCAATTGGGTAGCAGTCAAAAAGACTTTTGTTTAAATGTGACATATTTCTAATGTATTTTTGGATGTGTAGATGTAGTTGCTGTGGCGGTGTGAGGTCGAGAGCAAAGTGTAGGGGAGCCAGAGTCTCCTCTTGTGGGCCCATAATTCATAGCTACGCCCCAGAGCAGAGGCCCGACACGTCGACTGAGCAGGCCGAGCTTCAGTTGGGGAGCGTGTCCAATCCCAGCGAGGCTGCGTGCTGCTTGGCCCTCAGACGGAGGTTCTCAATGCTGGTGGTCTTGCTGTTGAGGCTTCCCGGGAGGCTGCCTGGCGCCGTCTGCAGCAGCGGGCTGTTCCACACCTGCTGGGCCTGCGACAGGGTCTGGTAGTAGGACTGGCAGGGCAGCGAGCCCAGCGGGGACGGCATGTTGACGTTCATGCCCAGGTAGGGCAGAGAGGACGGCGTGCTCATGTCAAAGGACGGGTAGTGCACCAGGTTGTTGGTGGCGGCCATGTGCTGGCGAAACTGCTCCTGCAGCCGGAAGAGGCTGAGGGGAGACGAGGCGTAGGAGTTGCTCTGAGCCAAACCGCCGGTCACGCTGCTGGAGGACGGCAAGGCGGGGGAGCCCAGGGGGGAGTCTGATGGAAAGGAAGAGAGGACATAAGTATGTTTTGACACACACAGACCTCGACTATGGAGATCTTTTTTTTTTTTGTATTTTTCAGAGAATTGTGTTCTTTTGTTTAGCAATTAGAGACTAATTCTGTAAAAATGGCTGTAAATGTAAATTAATGTGATTAGGTTCTTAAAAATGACACATAATCAGGGGAACTTAATAGTTAAAGTAAATGCACTCATTCGACTTCTATATTTTACCTGATGTGGGGCTGAGTCGTTTGCAGGATGGGGAGCTGCTCCCCGGCTGCGCTCCCCCCTCCCCCTGCGTCTCCTCCCTGATCTTCCCCCTCGTCTCCCCCCTCATTTCGTCCTCCTCTCTGTCAGCATTATCTTCTGCTGCTGACTCGCTGTCCGATGGCTCAGGGGAGGTGACGTTGACTTCCACGCTCATCTCACCAGGTTGCGGCCGTGCTGCTGCCAGCCTCTCTGTGTCTGAGTGACAGGATGAAAGAGAGGAGGGAGGGGGAGGAGTGCGGGCCTCAGGAACCAGGGTGGCGGTGGTGGTGTTGGTGTTGGTGGTGGTGTTGGTGTTGGTGGTGAGGTCGGCCTTGGAGTCCTCTGTAGAGCCCTCTGCCGCTCCAGACGCCTCCTTCTGTTTTTGGAGCTGCTCCTTCTGCAGGCTGCGCTGCTTCTTACGAAACTTGGCCCGACGGTTCTTGAACCAGACCTGGCAGATAGATGAACAGGAAGATCAGAGCTTGGGTTAAGTACTGTTTAACAGTGGACCTCGCCTCTCCATCTTCACCTTTACTGATACAAGATTGCCTCTAAATCAACCTTTATAACCTTTAATTAGCAAATGAGGGTTCAACAGGCAAACATGACACAGGGTAAATGCATTCTGAGGGTTTTTTTTTTTTACCTGCACACGTGCTTCTGGCAGGTTGGTGCACATGGCCAGACGTTCACGCATCACCACATCGGGGTAGTGGGTCTTCTGGAAGGTTTTCTCCAGGGCCTCCAGCTGCTGGGCGGTGAAGGCTGTCCGGCTCCGCCGCTGCTTTCGGTGCTGGGAGCCATACCGGGCCTCAAGGATAATGTCTTGAAATGTGCAGCCGTTGAGAAACAAGAAACACGAGCAGTTTAATTGAGGGACGGGTCAAAGAGCAGGTGATCACCCAGAGAGCAGCACACACTGACTACATGTGAAAATACACTGTTTGAAGTATAAGCAGCTGCGTCTTTGTGAGAGAGATGCAGTTGACATTGGAGGGAAGTTGGGAATTGAAAAGCAAAGTGAGCAACTGGTTCTTACCAGCCAGTCTCTCTGCAAGAGTGAGTGCATGCACAGAAGGCCTGTAGTCGGGTGCGTGCTGGGCCTGTTGCGCCGCCTGCTGGTGGAGGTTGTACATGGCGCTCAGTGAGTTCATGGCGTGGAGAGAGTAGCCGTTCACCCCGTAGTGCTGCATGCCCGACGCGCTGTCTGCTGAGGAGGAAACAAGCTGCGGTGAGTGTCGAGACCCGAAACCCATCGGACAGTTTCTGCTTGTCTATTCCGGCTATTTAAATTAAAAAAAAAAAAAAAAAAACCTTTAAAATACGGGTTTATAATGTGTGTTGTAACCTAACTGAGTGAAATGACAACAGGGGAAAAATGAGCATTAAAGACTGCGCTCCTAAGGAAAAATAGTTCCCTCATTTTATCCAGGAATGATAGAACAGATGACTTGTGACTGAGACGGAGAAGTTGATCTCAAAGTTCATGTGGGTTGTTGCAGAGTTACGATCGAGAGAGAGCAGACGGATATTTTAAAGAAACGGAGGGTTTGCCCATATTTGCCCACGTTAACCGTTAGAAAAATGTTTAGATTTGAAACTGTTAATTTAACATTATTTTTATTGTTATTATCTATTTAAAGCTGCCAGAAAAAAAACATGGTGGCATTTATGAATCTACTGTGCCAACATAACAATTTTACAACAGGCTTAGTTTTAAAATAAGATGATAGGACCTGGGTAGGGACCTGAGGTCAGTTCTATTCAGCAATGAAACAACGAACATAGCCAAAGATTTAGCACTTTGTAATATGCATAATATTCAAGTCTACTTTTTTTTTTGCATTAGCTATTAGGCTATATTATTGTGTCGCATTTTATGGCGTTATTTTAACATGCTTGTATATTAGGACACTAACATAAATTAATGTGTTCATAGTGGTCCGTAATAATAATAATATTGTTATTATTGATTAGGCAGGTAAAAATGTAATGATTTTTTAAAACAGGCCAATTAAAATAATTCTGACGGTGTTGCTTTCTTATTTCATCAGCTTGGCTAAAATCAAAATACAGTTTTCATTTTGAGGCTTTTATTTTGTGCGCTCCCCTGAGTTTAAACGCAGTCAAACCTCCGCAGGCTGAGCTGACAGAAGGTGCGAGAAAATATTTACTTTGCTCCAACAGAGTATGATTCGTGAGTGAGGAGGGGGGGGTCGTTTATTTCAATCTGTGGCGGGTCCCAGGTCGGTTTCAAACGCCTGGAGGCTGACGGAGATGTGTGGCATGGTCTTCAGTGAAATATGCACGAGGACCCCCAGTTGGGCTCCTGTCTAATGTGAGTGCAAATAGGTTTCCACTACACAAGGCTATTAATTTATCATCAGGCCTGACACGTGAAAGGTGGGCCAGCGTGTGTGTGCGCGCGCGCGTGTGTTATTTCCGACGTGTGACTAATGTAATAACTTTTTTCTTTTCATGTGACTATTTTATTGCATTATTTTTACTAAATCGGTCTCTGGATTTTTTTTTTTTAATCAGCAGCTTAAATATTCAACATAATGCTCTTCTTTCAGGACAATGTCACAGAGCCTCGGGCTTTGATTTAAGCCTCATTATGCTAATTGCCGTGGATTTATGAGTTATACAGCATTTAGTGACGATTGCCTCGGGGCCGGAGTTCTGCAGACATGGAGCCGATTCAGCAGCATTCACAAACTCCCAGCGACAAAGGAAATGAATGGGAATAATTCAACTATAGTCAATTAAACAACCTGTAATGTTAAAGAAAATCAAACAGAGGACATCTGCCATAAAATCCTATTCACCAACGTTTAGAGGTGGCTCAGAATATGAAACTGCAGCCTGATTAATCGCAGTAGGATGTATATTACACGTGTAAGAGATGTGACTGAAAACTTTGAACAGTTAAACACTCTTAGCCAAAGACACTCGTGTTGTTAAGCTACCGTAACTATTTTTTAGTTGTGGATCTCGGATTGGTCGGTGGACTGCACTTTGAGAATAGTTTTGTCCAAGATATCATAGAGTTTAGAGGACGATGTGCTGATATAAAACAAAACCAACACAAGTTTTAAAAAAAGAAATCTCCTATAGACATTTAACAGTAGGCTATTAAAACCGGACAGCTAGTTAGGCTACACTACAGGTTAGAACATGTGGCAACAAGACGACGATCCAACCACTCGGCAAACTTCTCACCTCTCTCTTCTATGTGAGTCTGAAGCCAAATATGTCCACGGGCAGAGTAGCCGGATATTTTCCTTTCAGATCTTCTTCTCTAAAATCCGCAGGTGGCTTTTCATTTCCTTCCCGTTTCTTCCCGTTTGTTCATTCACTCTGATATCCAGACAGCGTCCCGCTCGGTCCGCTCCGTGCTCCGTGCTCGCCTCTCGGTGGATGTGGGAGGATGCTGAGCTGCCATCTATCGGCCTTTAAAGCGACCCCGGGCGGGGTCACCGGGACGCTCCGACGCTCATTCTCTCTGCCAATCACATCGCTCCTCAGCTCCCCACCACCCCCTCCTCTTCCTCCTTCACATTACTCCTCACTTCATAGATGATTCCTGCATCCGAGCTGCCGACTTTTCTGCTGCCGCTCTTTTTGTTCTGGAGGAAATAAATGACTTTTCTTTTTTTCTTTTTTTTTTTTAATTTTGCACGTAGGGGTTTTTCTGCCAAAATTGACAATTAGCTATTATTCTAATTAGATATGGACATTAAGCGAATTATTTTGGGGGTTGATAATAATATTGAAGTTTTGGTTGTATTGAGGTCTCATGAGAAGTTCTACCTAAATAGCATATCCTCTTAATAATTAAAAACAGAACAAACCGCAACATAACAAGATGCATTACAAAAAAAAACCTCATTATGTGACGCTCTTGTAGCCTAGGCTGCTTAATTATTATTTCTTTGATTTTGACTTAATATCTCACTTCAACATGTGTTGCTCAATAGGAGCCGAGGTCAAAGAACTGCACTTTATTATTTACACTGTGTGTAAATATATTTTATGAACGATTTCACTCAGAATCCTTGTTACCGTTACCTTCCTTTAATCACTTTGCTTTATCCTATAATAAACGCTGAAATGACCATTTGTTAGTTATCGATTTTTTTTTTGGATTGACTTTAGGCCTAAACAACCATTACAAGTGTGACGAAACAAAATTTTGAAAAAAAAATTTGAGTTTTCTTTTAGAGTAAATATTTGCTTCAGCAGTGATCTATAATAAATATAAGTCTTATAAAAGAAATAAATGCTTGAATTCAGCCAGAAAGGTCTATAACACAGGTCTTAATTAAATGATATGCAAACAGAAAGTAATGGCCTGTACTTTCTCTAGCATGGTGACTCTCAGGTTAATTCCGTGCTTTAATTTTATTTTCCTCCTGCCTCGGTGTGACTGCGTGTTTGGTGGGAAAGCAGCTGAGATGGAGAGATGCAGGCTGGGCTGCACTGCCTCCAGCAGCTCCCCGGCCCCGAGGGATTTAGGTTAGGATTGGGTAGACAAGACGCCATTTCACCCTCCAAAAAAATGTCTTAAAATGACTGCTGGTAAGAGGATTAAAACAATAATGCCCCTCTCTTCTTCAAGGTTTTTAGAAAAGATTTCTTCTCCCGGAGAAAACCCGTTTAGGCTGGAATTAAGGGCAGCGAAAAGTAGCCTTTTAATGTAAAGCTTGCATATTTTGTTGAATTTTCTCCGAAAGAGTGAGAGAGAAAGAGGAAGGTGGGCTGGGGTGGGGAGGGGAAGGGAGGGGGGGTTTAAAATCCTAAACTCAATTTGATCTTTGGCCACATTCATTTGCAGAACTTGTAGACTCCTGACAACAGCCTGTGTGAAAACATGAATGTGCTGCTTATATGTGACCTCAACGCCTTTAACTTTACTTTTCAATTTACAGTGTTCAGGTATTGTCCCTTGGTAGTTGTAATTTTACGTAGATGGTAGGTTATTTACGCATATTGGGGAAAATCCAAAATGTGAAAGCAACATGACAGAATGAGTTCAGTGTACGTTTTCACGCAACAAGTGGTTCTCAGTGCGTAAAAGGATAAAAAAAAAATCAATAATAATAATAATTTTCTAATGCTTGTTTTTTTTTTTTTTTTTTTTTTTTTAATTCCGACCTTCTGTTTTATTCTTTTCTCCTTTTTGTCAGTAGCTGCAGAGCATTTAGGCCTAGAGGAGAAAAAAAAATCGGATTAACTTGTGAACCGATGGAAATAAGAACTTAAACTGGAGGTAAATCTGGCCAGTGTCTCTTTGTGGGAACCGTTTCTAAAGCAATTAAAGCGAGAAGGAATTCCTCTCAGCTGCTCTTCCTCAAATCAGCTTTTTTACGGAACTTAATGCGGGCTAATGTCCAGCATGGCTGAGGGCTTTAATGCAAGTGTCAAGAGGGCCTGCTATTAGAGTGATATTAGGCCGGTTGAGCCGCAGCAGCAGCAGCCCCTCCTGACCACGCAGGGATGGAGTGGACAGGAAACTCATACAGTCTCTGTTTACACAGCTTTTTAGTTATATGTATAGACACATATATTTCCAGATGTATATTGGTGTCAAACTGTGTTATATGAAGACTTTTAGAATAATAATGAAAAGGCATACATTTACAGTTTTCTAAAAGTTTTCTGATTTGTTTACTTTGAGCTGTGATGTGCGATTTTTCATTCTCGCACTGTTATCTATCCACATAAACTCCAGACTCAATTTCTAAATCAATGCAGTTGTTGTATGAGATATAACAAGGTATTTTTAAGAAAGAAAAAAAAAAGATTTTTAAAATATATTTTCTGACAGTTTTTGTATAAAGCCAAACAATTGAAGAAGACATGCAATGTTTAGTTGAAATTTAAGTGGATAGTACATCATGTTGAAGGATTTTCAGAACTGCAACTATTTATTTTTTTATTTTTTTTAATAACTGATTGTCTGGTCTATAAAATATCAGATAAATAGTGAAAAAGGTCCATCACATCTTTCTAGAGACCAAGGAGATGACTCACAGTCCAAAACCCAAAGATGGTCAGTTTGTAATGATATGAAACACAGAAAAGCATTGGAGAAGCTGCAACCAGCATTTTTTTTTTTTTTTTGGGCATTTTTGCTTGAAAAATGACTTAAACAATTAATAGATTATCAAAATAATTTTCTGTTGATTGA